CCCCCCTCTCGTGCTCTCCCCCGCGCGGCGCTGACGCGCCGCGCTTACGTGGCCTTCGGCCACGTCAGGTGGTGCGCCCCCCCGTTCACAAAATCCTGGATCCGCGGATGTTTCCAGCCGATTCCCAAAGACTGGCAGATTCTATCACACTAAATCTCATTGTAGTATTGTCCTTCTTAGAGTCTTCTTAATATCTTACAGTCTGTTCTCAGGTTTGACATCTTGGAAGAGGTGATAGTCACCTGTTATGCCAATCCTTCCACAAATGTGGTAAATCTTCATAAATCATGAATCAAGATGATCATCACACGTTATATAAACACCGATTGGTTGAAAAAGACATTTTATGAAATATAGAAGAATAATTACTGGATATTTAAAAGTGTTGATTTCATAAAGTTCTCATCTATATGCTCTACCGTTTCTTAACAGTTTATATACGGAATCAGCAGTACTCCTCTTATGCCACTGGGAACTACGTTCATCGACGACCACGTTAGAAAGGAGAGTGCACCTCTGTATATCGGTGAGTACAGAAAACTCACATAATGACGAAGCTACAAACGTACGTTTGCACAAATTGATATCTAATAATTATCCGTAGTTATTAGAGAATAACCTAATTGCCTAATTAAAAATCTAGTTATTCTCTATAATAACTACGGGTAATTAGTAGATATCACTTTGTGCAAACGTACGTTTGTAGCCTTGACCATTATGCACATGGAAATCATACTTTTATTTCAGCTACTTGTACCAAAGTGCTATATTATAACTTTAAAGATAATTACATTTGGGGCAATAAAATTGTGATGACGTAATTCATATGGTCCATAAAATCATATTCATAACCCTTTTGTACCCAGGTATCAATATTCAGTACAACTACAGTTCTTTCTAAATTTCTTCGTGAAAAAACGATGGAAAGTTAAAATGCCAAATTAGCCAGGGAGGACACCTTAAGCATAGTTACTGCCCGAACGGCCATTGACACAAAACGTTCACGTAACATCTTTATACTTTTAAACGGCACATTTTGGCATCCAACACTGGTATCTTTTACTGTCCGGAAGGTCATTAACCCAAAGAGATTCTAACGTTCTTTGACATAAAAAAAATACAAGCTGTTTGTAACAGAGCCAATCTATGAAACCTTTTCCGGAACTGAATTTTACAGATACCTTTATTGTACAACAGTTATACAGGGTAAAAAGTATGGCATGTCCTGAATAAAAGAAATGTTTTAAATGTTTTGAATGCAGAGATCAAGCTTACTGAGTAAGCCTTTTCACTGTCCGAACGGCCGTTGACACAAAACGTTCGCTTAACATCTGTAAAACAGACGTATTTTCACATCTGACACTGTCATACGTTTTACTGACCGAGGGGTCATTAACCCAAAGAGATTCTAACGTTCTTTGACATAAAAAAATTACAAACTGTTTGTAACAAAGCCAACCAATGACAACCTTTTCCGTAACTGAATTTTTACAGATACCTTTATTGCACAACAGTTGTACAGGGTAAAAAGTATGGCATCTTTTTTTATTTATTTTTTATTATAATTTCCAACATGTAATCACAAGACGTGGTGACGGCACACTCAAGTTTTTTCAACTTATATTAATGCCGCCACCAACACAGGGGACAACATAATACTCATTTACACCTGAGCGAAGTGAGGAAAGTCGTGTAAAGTACCTTTCCCAAGGGCACAAGATCGGTGGCATGTCAGGACTCGAACCTGGGACCTCTAGGTTCCGAGTCGAGCACTCTGCCGCTACGCCACACGACCCAGTATGGCATCTACTAGTGGTCCTGAATAAAAAAATGTTTTAAATGTTTTGAATGCAGAGATCAAGCTTACTGAGTAAGCTTTTTCACTGTCCGAACGGCCGTTGACACAAAACGTTCACTTAACATCTGTAAAACAGACGTATTTTCACATCTGACACACCGTGATACGTTTTACTGACCGAAGGGTCATTAACCCAAAGAGATTCTAAACTTTTTTTGACATAAAAAAAGATTAAAAGCTGTTTGTAACAGAGCCAACGTATGCCAACCTTTTTCGCAACAGGAGTGCTAAATTTTACATGACATAGGCATGGTTGCCCTAAAAATACCACAGTTTGCAATCGTACGTATCCTGATGTCCAGCAGATCGTGGTTAGGGCGGATTTTCTTCGGGGCTGCAGGAGCTCTTCCCCGCCCGTCTCAGCTAGGTTCCCCCGGTAGGTTTTTTTTCAATCTCGCGTCGTGAAAATCCTACCGGGGGAACCTAGCTGAGTCAGGCGGGGAAGAGCTCCTGCAGCCCCGAAGAAAACCCGCCACAAACACGATCGAGTGGACAGCAGGCTAGATCGTACGTCATTCGTACGATTTTTGTGACTTGGTACTAAAACTGTCACAGGTTTGAAGGTAAAACACCTTTCGGGTGTTTTAAAGGTCAATGACCGTTCGAACAGTCAAGCTGGCCAATCATGCTCGTCAAAGTAAACCTACACATGCGTTTGCACGGCCATTGCCTTTTCACCTGGGCCGTTGTTGTAATCGATACACACAAACTGTCAATCTTCACTAACGGTAGAATGCACAAAGACAATGCTGCTTTCTGGCGAGTTATGGCCATTAATTCACTACGTGGCCTTGGAGATTCAAATTTTAATTTTAACATTCTTCGTCTTCATTCAGTCAACCATTATCAGTTAATAATTGAAAGATTATTGCAAATCCATGCCCCAGGGCTAATTGCAAGAACATGATAACAACAATAAACAGTAAAAATGAATAAAGTAATGCTAATTATAATGCTACTTTAGATATACATTTGTAGTTATTGTTGGGTTTGATTTCTTTTCTTTGTGCAGTGGAGTATGAAATGGCCGACATATTGCGAGATATATGAATTGGGAGGTGTTAATAGAAATGCAGTTTTTTTAATAATAATAGTATATTATGTACATTTAGAATTACACACTGCACGAAATGGCCTCGGATTATAGCAAATCCTGAAGATCCGAAATCGTGCATCATGACGGATACGTAGCAAATCCGGAGAAATCCGCAATCCTTACTAGAATACGAAGTAGCACTGCAGATCCGACAATTCCGGCACCGTATACGTCCGGATCTTTAAGAAATCACAGATACAAATTTGATATTCGCAAGGAACCTTCTTTCTCGGATATGTTATAAGTTCGGTTTTTAGGGGAGTCTGGAGTTGCCTCGGATCCTGACAGATACAGTAAATACCCATCATGGCGTCATACATGTACTACCACAGATTTCAGCAAATCCGCCTGCCGGGCATTTAACGGATTCTAAAATAACCCACAGGGCACTGCTGCTTTGGACTCTTCCGCAGATACCGAACAAAATAACAGAAGCGGGATTTCGCGGATCTCACTTCCGCAGATCTGAACAAGATACCAGAAGCGGGATTTCGCAGATCTCGCTTCCACAAATCCGAAAGTGATTTGCAGCAACGGGATTTTGCGGATCTCAGAATTTCGTACTGCTATGAATTCCTGGTCCCACAGATCCGATAAAGGTACCAAAAGCAGAATTTTACGGATCACGGTTCTGCAGATCCGAAAACGATACCAGAAGCGGGATTTTGCGGATCTATCTTCCACAGATCCGAAAGAGATACCAGAAACGCAGAGAAATTTGTGAATATCAGAATTTCGCACTTGACTGACTCTTACTATGGATTCCCAAATCCGAAAGTTTCACAGATCCGAAAAAGATACCAGATGCAGATTCGCTTCCACAGATCCCAACAGATCCCACTTGGCATTCATATGACCTCATATGGATTACGAATCCCGCAGATCCGAAAAAGATACCAGAAGAGGAAATTTTCTGATCTCGCTTGCACGAAATCTGGAATTTACCAAACTTATATAGCATGGGTAATACTATCTTTCCGAGTTTAAACAATCTGCATCCCTTATAAATCAGGTACCTAACACGTACATGTAACTTTCTTGAGGAAGGCAATGAAAGGAAGCAAAGTCTAAATGATGCGTCTGATTGGCCAGCTAGCGTACGCATGCGTACCGTGTTGGCGGTTAGAATGAAAACCGTTAGGAAAGTTGGCTTCGATGCAGGGGAAAACTAGAGAGAAATCAGGCGTTTGTATCGCTTTTTTTCGTGATACCATGATGACATAACTAGTCTACCATGATCAACCATTGAGTTTGGACAGGATTGATAGTGTTTGGACAGGAGGAGGATGTGATGTCAATTCAAACGCACGGAATAGTGACGTGTCACTGTGTAGCAAGCTTCGGCGCCCCCTCCCCCTTGCACGGCGGCCCTGCGCACTTATCCAACACATCGGGCGTTTGGTAAGTTCAGTTATCGTACCTATTTGGTTATTGATATGTCGCTGCCAGAAACATTATAAAATGTCTCTAACTAACCTGCCCCCTCTACATTATAGATGAAAGGCTTTTAGGGGCTTGTTCATACTTTCTAACGGTCAATAGGCATTCGTGCCGGGCCAATCTCGTCTTGACAAAAATAGGGAGCAGTTTAAAAAAAAAGTGTTCAGTATTTCTATTGTATTCAGGTATAGTCGATTTGTCAATTCCTTTATTATATGTCTGGTAGAAATTTTGATCAAGTTATATGTTACTTTTTGTCCATTGAAAATGCCCAAGTTTTCTGACCAATGTAATTTGCAAACAGCAGGGAGTACTACAGGCGGAGCCTCCTCATCCCGAAGACGTTTATATAAAGACATGGGACACGTTTTGTCACCTGTGTATTTGTTTACCTTTTTATACCTCCAGGATGTATGTGACAAGGTTTTGCTAGTCTGTCTTATGATGTATTAAATGATCCATGGCTTTTTTGCCAACAGAAACTGGATCATCACCTTGAAGGTGAAGAAACCATACAGTAAGCGGCTCAAGCTCAAGCTGTCCGGAGTACATGTCAGCAGACGAGCCAGTTTATGATGAAAAGGGAAATCTTTTTTTTTTACTAAGGCCATTCTTTGGCTGCCCAAATCTACAAAATACAAAAGTGAGCTCGACCAAAAATTTGAAACTTCATACTAAAGTGAACAGGTAAAACGGCAGTGAACAAAGAGGGTACCTGGCCCAGTGACCCTTCTTCCACTTCCAAGTCTAAAAATCCCATCTTGTTAGAGTTGAATCAATGGATTTCTAAATGTTAACTTAGGTCCAGTATTATTTCTGGTGAATTTTCTGAGGCCAGTGAAACACGTTTTCCATGATTTGTGTACGAATATGTACCCCAAGTTCACTCTTTGGGGGTAACTTTTCAGTGGACAGAAATGTTTGTTACAGTTTTTGTTAGTTCACTATGATTTGTGTATGGATATGTACCCCAAGTGTAAAGGCATAGCTAACTATTTTAGGGTAACTTTGGGCAGAGTAATGTTTATTACAGTTTTTCTTTGTTTACAATGACCTCAAGTGTAAAGTCATAGCTTACAGTTAGGGTGTAACGTTGGACAGAAATGTTTATTACAGTTTTTGTTTGTTTACTATGACCTCAAGTGTAAAGGCATAGCTTACTGTTAGGGTGTAACGTTGGACAGAAATGTTTGTTACAGTTTTTGTAAGTGGTAGCAAAATGGATAACTATGTACCCCAAATGTAAGGACAGAGCTGTCCACTTAGGAGTGGTAAGTGAACACGATATGTTTCAGGCTATACTGTGTATTGATAATAAACTATTTAGTTGCAGGAGCTCCTATTAAGCCTGTACGTATCCGAATGTATCCTGAATGGGAATATGGTGAAGGTATTAAAGTTCAAATCCTGAGTTACGCATTTGTCAGGGGTCATTTCTGTACGAGTCCCAGGCAAATCCGAGCGTCTGCTGTGTGGAATATTTACTATAAGAATCCCGTTTTTCGGATTTGTACGGAATAGGTTCCGGATAGCAGTAACCGATGTTTCGGATTTTCTGGCGAATTTCATTCTGATCCGTCAGTATCCGCTTGTATCTGTCAGCAATTCCGGAAAATCCCGGTACGCATCTGCCAAGATCCAAATTCTTTTCTGTGCGTATCCTGGCAACATCCGAACGTATTCCGTGTGGAATATTTACTGCAAGGATCCCGTTTTTCGGATTTGTACGGAATAGGTTCCGGATTGCAGTAACCGATGTTTCGGATTTTCTGGCGGATTCCAATCTGATCCGTCAGTATCCGCTTGTATCTGCGAAAAATACGGACAAATCCCGGTACGCATCTGCTTGAATCCGAGGCCATTTCGTGCAGTGACATATACATAATATTAGTAATTACATGCAATTAGACTTAGTACTAAGTGTATGCTTTGGTGATACTCAACCCTAAGCACAAAAATTATACATATACGTTATACTGCATATATTGGCAGTTTTGTCAGTTTTGCAATTTTCTATTAAACGATAAATACATATTTTTGATGCGTCTAGACAAACCCTGTATCACAAACATGATCTGTTCCTACATTTTCCATTGTACAAAAAAGCGAGAAGAAGTTGACCACTCTGTATTAGCTCAGTAACCAGAACACTTTGTATTAGCTTAGTATAGTACCCTTGTATGTTCCTTATGTACGTATGTCAAGTAGTGTATCATTTGTCTCCACTTTTCTACATACGTTTTTATGTGTCTGTTAATAGTATTGACCTGTACCTAGCCCGTCGTGGCATGAATGTACAAGGTATTTCATCTCATTTCATTTCATTAAACCATTTTGATATTTGTTTGTTCAGGGACGTCTTATATCGTGTTCGGATTGGGGCCACCGCTCGGCTTCGTTCTCAGTTCTTTTGCCGTGAAGTTTTACGTCGACATGGACAAGGGGATCGACCCGGGCACGCTAGGCCTGACGCCCGCCAACCCGCTCTGGGTCGGCGCCTGGTGGATCGGATTCTTCATCTGTGGAGCCGGACTGCTGGCCACGGCGTTCCCTATGTTCTTCTTTCCGCCTGGTATGTGTTCATATTTAACTCCATAAAAATGGAAGTATTGTTTTTGGTAGAACAGCTAGAACAGCCATGGACTAGAAACTAGAGGGGAAACGCCCCAGAGTTAGACCTAGAACTACCCTCTGTAGAACTATCCTAAACGATGGGAAAAACTGGGGTTCGATACACTAGAAGGTAAGGTAATTGTTTTTGGTATGTTTGTGTGTGTATGTTTCCGTGTGTGTGTGTGTTTCCTTAGGTCAGGTTGTAATGGATATGGTTGCGTGCAACCTGTCCCAAAGGGAGACACACATCTACATTTGTACATCTGGTAGCGCTCGCTGGTTTCACAGGTGATTTCATTACATGACCTCCTTGACAGCTTGTGTTGTTTCACTTGCACGGAGGAGAAAGACACCGTGGTGATTGAGAAGGAGACACAGTCTTCATCATACAATATCTAAATATTTAATGGAGGTTTTAGATCTCAGAATTCTTGTTTTCCCCCTTGCAAACAGTACTGCATAAGCTGTATATAGTAGAGTGGACTCACTCATTACGCAGTAATGTAAAATGTCTTGAATTGAGTCATGTATGTTATGACTGCTACTTTTATGGATAACATTGGCTGTACAATGTCGTCTCATCAGCCCTTAAGAGACCCCCAGACAGTGACGTGGTTCAGAAGAAAGACAAGAGCGAGAAGAAGAAGATGCTCCCGATGATGGACATGGACCGGGGTCCTCCCCTTCTGGACCCAGCCAAGGGACTCTGGAAACAAATCAAAGGTACGCATGGGCTGAAAAAGACAGGAAAACTCAGACCACTATAAGGGTAGAAACATGTGTAAATAGACTAACTCTCACATCTTCTGGGACCTACTTGAAGAAGTTTTTTTTGTTACTTGAGGTTACTGCAGTATTGGTCTGGGTACCTTAACTGCAGGGTTGCGTATCTGTTTGCCCGGAGTATGTTGACAGCACATGGCTGGGGAAGATTGACAGACTGCATGGCAAAAGGTCAGGCACAGGAAATGGGGGTGAACTTGAGAGTTTGTCGACCACGTGTGCGTGTGAAAACATTGACAGGCAGAACCACAGGTCAAAAGGTCAGACACAGGAAATGGTGTCAACGTGAAGATTACGAAAGCCCCGCATACTTCCTGGAAGCTTCACTTCTCTGATTTTTTTGTCGTTCCAGGAATGACGAAGAGTCTGAAGGAGGTTCTGACTAACGGGGTGTTCCTGGTGCTGTGTCTGTCCGGGGTCTGCATGGTCTCGACTTTCGGCGCCTTCTCCTTCATGCCCAAGTACCTGGAGTTGCAGTTCGGAGTCCCGAAGTCACAAGCAAACATGTTGTTGGGTAGGCAACTCAGTCATTCACTCAGTCACTCTCTCTTCCTTTCTGTCTCTCTCTCATGCATTGTCTCATCTCTTCACACATATGCTACGAGAAGACCACCCCCTACATGACCTTGTCTCTCTCTCCAGATCTACAGCTACCGGTCGTTCACTCAGGAACAAAAACACTATCTCTATCCCCCCGCCAGAACAAAAAGACTACAGAACTCTTTCCTTCACCAGTCAATCAGACTCTATAACCAGACTGTACAGATAGAGTCTGGCACAAGATAATGGACCTTGTAAATATCTGGGTTGTACACTTACTGTACTGTTTTTATAGTTGTTGTAGATATATAATTTTTTGACATTTTATCTTGTAAATATCAACTCCATTCAGGCAACATTGTATGTCATGTTTGTCTGTTATGTTTGGTATCTAAATAAAGAATTGAATTGAATCTCTTATTACGGATTGCCCACTGTATGGTGATATACACACAAAGCTGTTCAACCTTCTTTCCGCTTACTCAACAGAATTTCTTATATGTAGAGATTTTTAGGACTTTAAATGATGTAATCTTTTTGATACACCTTGTCTGACCCTTACCTCTTCCCTAATTATGATCTCAATGAAAAGCGGCCTGCTTGCCAATTTAGGACATGTGTTTAATGGACATAATGTATTGTATTTTTACATATGGTGGTCTGTGTTGTTACCATGTGTCAATGTTATTGTGTGGCAGTTGTTATTTTGTATTGTTGTATTGTATTGTATTGTGTAGTTATGGACAACTGGAAGAATTGCTAAGCTAAATGCTAAAGCTAAATGTGGATCCGAATAAAGTCAAGCCAAAGTCAAGTCAAGCTTCTTATGAATAAAGAATGGTTCAAACAAACTCATTCATCAATTACAACCAATTCATTTGTCAATTTTTGTCGTTCCATATCCAGGAATAGTGATGTTGCCGTCTACCGTTTTCGGCATCGTCGGGTCAGGAATAGTCATCAAGAAGTTCAAGCTGACGCCTGTGCAGTGTCTGTACATGTCCGCTACATCTGTGTTCCTGTCGGTCCTCCTCAGTATCCCCATGTTCTTCCTGGCCTGCCCACAGCCTCCTATGGCGGGAGTCACCATACCGTATGGCTACAGGTACATATTCCTTTTCTTTACGCCGAAATAGCAGTTACTCAAGCAAAGTACTGGATAAGATTTTGGAAACGGTCAGACGTTTCAGCTAGTATCCACTAGCTTTCGTTAGGTCTTCAAGTTCTTTATTTGACAGCAGTTATGTATACGTCACACTCCTGTACGTTTGGGACCGCATTGTACATAGATACCGTTTGTAACCGTGTAGATTATGTAAATAGCTTGCGTTTAGGAAGGCATCAATTGCAGCGACACCTGTGCTGCAATGCAGTGTGAACCAGTCAGATTTGCCCTGAGGAAGGTCGCCGAAACGTCGGCTGAACCTCTTTCTTGTGTAAAAAAAGACAGTATGTTTTTTCGGTGACTTACTAACCTAATGAAACTATTCACTGAGGTACATATATAGTATGATGTGTACGTACTCATAGTAAATTCAAACTCTACTACGTATACGGGATACATACATTACTGAGATTACTTCCGGACATTCCGAGTGACATCCACCACTCTTCTTTAGCATCATTAATGAACTAGCAGTGAACTAGTCAACACACACATATATATATGAGCGACTGGAAAACCGGTTGAACATGACAAGGACTCGTATAGTCACTGATATAAAGTAGTTCCTATGGCAAGACTGTACCATAGGAACTGCTACTGTCCCTTAGGCTGAGGTACGGCGGGGTCCCAAGTACCTTATGATCTCTTTTACATTTCAATGACTGTACAAGTCCTACTCCTTGAAAGCTGGTACCGCCCCCCGTCTCTTTCATCTGGTTAAACAATCATGAAAGTTCATCTGTGTTGGGTAGTTAAAGTTAAGACTTTTGGTCCAACGCAAAAAATTCTCTCACCTAGAGCTTTCGACCAGTCACTCTGGTCTTCCTCAGTAGACTGACCCAGTGATGCTTGTCACGTGGCTTCTTTGAAGTGTGACGTCAACACTGGGTCAAAGGTATCTGGTAGACGATGTCGGCCCCCGTCGCGGTTCAATGTAGGGTGATGGGCCCTGATGTAAATGGCTTCCTTCACCAAACTCAAGAAATAGTCTTGTTCAGTGTCTAAAATCCAGTGTTGACCTCACACTTCAAAGAATCCACGTGACAAGCATCACTGGGTCAGTCTACTGAGGAAGACCAGAGTGACTGGTCGAAAGCTCTAGGTGACAGAATTTTTTGTGTTGGACCAAAAGTCTTAACTTTAAACATATAACTACCAACACAGATGAACTTTCATGAGAGGTTAAACAATGTGTGTCTTCTGCCACAGCCCTTTGATGCCGAACGCCCCCAGTCTCAAGAACGGAGACATCAACCTGCTCTCCTCCTGCAACACGAATTGCAACTGTAACTTGGACAAATACAGCCCGGTCTGTGGGTCGGACGGAGTCACTTACTTCTCGGGCTGCCACGCCGGCTGCACCGAGAAACAGAGCTTCATGCACCCGATGGGGATCATGATATCGGTAAGTCTCCTCAACTCATCACAGCGTAACTGTCTAATCTCTAAGTAGATCTTTCGGTGGCTGCAAAGACAGTACCAAATTGGCCAGGCTGTATCCATTTGCTCTGAAGGCGCATTGGATATTGTCTGGTTTGGTTTTCTTTTTAATGCCCACGATCATGATATTAATGATCATTTTGGCATACTCATTTTCACCTGAGTGAAATGAGAAAAGTCGTGTTAAGTGCCTTTCCCAAGGTCACAAATTTGGTACTTGGCAGAATTTGAACCCGGGACCTCTTGGTTCTGAGCCGAATGCTCTGCCGTTGCGCCACACGGCCCCACTTCTGGCAGATGGATACTGCCTGGCCAATTTGATACTGCCTTTGCAGCCACCGCTGGAGATCTATAGAATAATACCTGTCTACTTAGAATCAAAGAAACGATGGTACATGGGATCTTCCTTCAGACCAACATTCAGCTTAAGTTATGTCTGATGACTTACTTCACTTACACTTGCATGAAAAGTCACGAGCTCTTCAGCATCATCTACCATTAACATTTCATAGTAAGGCAACAATTCGTTGATATATCTTTGCTAATCAAAAAAGAGCAAACATACCGTCTACTGCCTTGCCTAATAGGTACAGTAGCTTTTATTTTATAAAAAAAGGCTTGCATGCTGATAAAATTTATCACCTTTTACAAGGTTTACTCGCCTAACTAAAATTGCACGTATCATTTTTTTCATCATGCAGAACTACACCGACTGCACCTGCATGGCCTCTTCTCTCTCACTAACAACCACTAACACTGCTCACAAACTTTCTAACGGTGCCGGGGAAAAGGAGTCCTTAGACCCTGGATATATAAAAACGGCCTGGGCAACTCTTAGAGCAGGAACTAAACCTGGAATGGAGACAAACTTGGTGACACCTTCGGTAGAACAGAGGTCGACATACGAAATCCAAGATGGCGGTCGTAGCGACCGCAGTGCAACCTGGGGGATTTGTCAGAACGAATGTTCCGACAAAGTGATCCATTTTGTGCTCGTAGCGTTGGCGTCACTAACAGCATGGTCGTTTGGGTTTATCCCTGTCATCGTCTGTGTTTTGAGGTAAAGCTTTATATTTTACCGTTTGAATGTGCTGCCGAAGAGCAAGGATAATCTACTGAAATCATTCTCTGGGCTTTTTGGTTTTATTTGTTTTGATTGACAGAGAAGAGAACACAATGATGACAAAGAAAATGGAGTAAATAAAAAAACGGAATGATCAAATGTGAACAAGCTCTAAGTAGGTTACCCTTGCTTTCGGTAGTTTTTGATATTTGATTAAGATCAGCGTCATTTTTATCATTCTAAAGATTGCTGAGATTGGAGCACATGGAAAACCTTGTCGTGCAAAATGTATGCACGTAAACTTTAATATTTGGAACCAAAAGTGCCCCTCAAAAAAAATCTTCAGAATGATAAAATTGCCAGGCTTGTCAACAATCAACCTTCGTTCTTTTTTTCCAATGCTTCTTACTGATATAAGACGCAAAGAGACAAAGTTCAGTTCATAACACTTAAAACTGATGACTCAAATCACCCTTCTTGTACTTCCAAAATTATACATCATACAGATTCTTCAGACCCTTGCGGTAATATTGCTTTAAACATTGCTGTGAGGCTCTGGACTGAAAAGAAAACAAAACGGAGGTCGGTGTTGACATTGTCGACTAGCCTCTATCAGGCACCGCAGATCGCTGGAAAAATAGTAGAAATTGGCCAAAATAAAGGGATAGTATACCAGAGAAGATCCAGGGCCATAGAAGATCCAATTTGCGACCCACGGATCTTCTCTGGTATACTAACCCTTTATTTCGGCCAATTTCTACTATTTTTCCAGCGATCCGCGGTGCCTGGTAGAGGCTAATTGTCGACTGCCTGAATGATAAAAAATACTTTGATGGCTCCAACGTTTTCCTATAGAACTTCTCCCGTTGCGGCTGTCTAGCCGAGTTACCACCGGAAGTTCTGATGAAGATGATGGCCCAGAAATTCGGAAAGCCAGATGCAGGTGCGCCACCTGGCGGCGAAGAGAAACCCAAAAGTCAGCAGCCTTACATCGAACCCATGTGGGCAACTGCAAGTCCTCAAAGACTGAGGAGAAACGCAAACACAACGAACGGCGTCCCGGCTACGAACGTCAGTTCTACCACGCCCCCCATTCCCGGAATGGAGACTGGAATGCCAGGAACGGGCTCTGGAATGCCAGGAATGGGTTCTGGAATTCCAGGAATGGGCTCTGGAATGCCAGGAAACGGATTTCCGGGAATGCCAAACTTCGCCATAGGTTTTCCGTGTCGTACCGACTGTAATAAGTGGGGCGCATTTATCGCTGTGTTTGTAGTCGGTGGATTCGCAGCATCATTCGGGTTTATTCCTGTCATCATTTCCATTCTTAGGTAACAGGATACTTTAAAGGATGGTATATTGTACAATGCTGTAAATTAGAGGCAAACGTAACGTATATTTGGCATGCTTCGAACATGTATAAAACTTTTACTGTAGAAATGCATGAACAATAGATGACATCATGTGTAGTATATCTCTTACGGTATGCTAACATTAAGGTTCACATATGTACTAATATCATATGAATTTTTTGCATGTTTGTTTTGCCTAACTTACAAAGGAAACCTATTGTAAAAATAGAATCAATGGCAAGTTCACGTATACTTTATAAGAAATAATATTAACCTTATTTGTCTAAATAATGATAGGGTTCAACGTGTTTTTGTGGTCTTGAAAACATCAATATCTATATGAAAGGGAGACTCATATTTGTCCACATAGGTTTATATATAATACTGCAATGTACCTTTAAATAATCATTGTATATGACATGTATGGTACAAATGTTGTTTTAATTTTCCTAAGGTCATTGAGTCCCGAGACCAAAAGTTTCGGTATGGGAGTGAAGACAGTGCTCACAAAGCTTTTGGGTGAGTTTTTACTTATTGTTAATTTTTTCTGCTTCTCGTAGGGCGCTAACACCTGAGACTAAATCCTTCGGAATGGGAGTCCAGACTGTGCTTGTCAAGCTTCTGGGTAAGTACACGTATTGCAGGGCACTCTTAGCATATAGCATATAGTATAGAGCTAAAAATTAATTCCAAAACACAAAAACACACAGACATATACAGACATGCATAAAACAGGCAAACTGTAAGTGCGCTACTAGTGCTAGACAAGTACTAACAATATTCAGCTTTTTCGGTACCGTTTTTTCGTCAGCGGTGCTATGCTAGTACTTGAGCTGTGTGGCTCAAGGGCTCGGAAAACAGAGGTGCGCAGCCTTTTACACCATATGGTGTTGTGCTATATGAGTTTTGTAAATCTAGTGCGCCAACACTAAATGTCTGTAATTGTTCTCATTTCAATAGGAAATATGATGTAGGAGTTTGTATTTTTTATTTGTATTTATTGGCAATGGAGTTTTAGTAGATCATTACAAGGGTCAGCACAGGCATATTAAGCTGGTAACTGCTGATCCCCCAAAAAATGTACTGTAGGAACTAAGGACTTGAACGTTCAAAATCTCTTTTCTCCAGGCTTCATCCCCTCGCCGATCTACTTCGGCGCCCTGATCGACACAACCTGCCGACTGTGGTCCACCACCTGCGGAAAACAGGGCGCCTGTCTGCTGTACGACTTAGACAAGAACAGGTATTTATTACCTCCATGAAAAATGGAGGTATTGTTTTTGGCGTGTCTGTCTGTATGTCTGTGTGTGTGTCTGTCTGTATGTGTGTGTGTCTGTGTGTGTTTCCGCAACGTTGTAGTCAGCATAACTTCAGAACGCCTTTATGGATTGTGATGATATTTGGTATGCTGGTAGGTCTTAGAAAGCCAAAGGTCAAGGTCAAATATGGGCCTCCTAGTGGCTGACCTTGGTACTGCAGCAGAACTTCCGGGGTGGCAGGGAAAACAATGTGCGGGGTGGCAGGGAAAACAGATGTGCAGGGTGGCAGGTAGCGCCTGGCCGGGTTGATTAATGAGTTTCTGCCTCGGGGAAAAGCCTACATGACCATATCCAGGCCAAAGGTGCTACTGTGTGTTTGAAACCAAAAACCTGTGTTATTTTGTTCTGTACTGTAGTGTACTGTGTAAAAACATTTAGAAAAACTAATATATTTTATGGAGGTATATGAGGTCTCCGAATTCTTGTTGATTATGCTTAGGCCACACTGACTTAATTTCATGGATGACATCCTCTGAAGACCCCCAAACTAGTGCGCGCGGGCGAATAAAATAAAAATCCGGCCAAAAATGAAAATGCTACTAAACCACAGGAATGCAAAGCTGGTATTGTGAATATGCGACAGTACATGTCGACGTATACGACAAGCCGGCACATGCTGGCTTTTTGCGGAATTTATAAATCGGCACTGTTCTTGAGTCGTGGAGCTTTGGTAGCCTAGGTGCCATCTTCCAGAGTTACCACCGGCTCCATATTGTCGCTACCTACCATGGACTAGAGGGGCAGAGCCTCGGAGGACGTGATTTTTTTTTTTTTTTGAGAACAGGCGAAAATCAATGCGCGCGCGGATGTCATCCATAAAATTAAGTCGGTGTGGCCCTACCGAAGGAAAATATATTGTTTCCTCTTTTTCTCCTGTTCCAAACACTGACCTCTGACCTGGCCAATGACCTGATTTTTGACGTCTCTCACCATGGTAACTGGTGTTGGGGTATATAATGTTGCAATTTCATAGTTGGAGGGATTTTGTACTCCTGTCTGAACTTGTATATGAATGTATTTGACTGATTTGATTTTGAGTAAGAATTAACAGAGTAGACCATATGCGAAGGTAAACATTATGCATTTCCTTTGCAAATGTTACCTTTTTGGTTTTTATTTTATTTTAAAAGGGTGGCACTCATCAGTGATTAACCACTGCTGTTCAGAGTGGCCCTGAGTACATACATTACAAGAAAAGAACAATTAAGCATGACTATCAAAATCGTTATCTATACTCCCAATCGGGGTCATGCCGGATCGTAAGGGCTTGGAGGTCAGAGGTATCTTGATTGTGAAAACAACACAGTGTTTGGAATGATTGCATAGATGAAGCAGTTTTAACATTGAGTGGAAGTCTATTCCAACTCACTGCACACTGTAAACATAATGTTCTTTTACTACATTCAGGTATGCGTACTTCGGTCTCATCATAGCCCTGCGCACTCTCGGAGGCTTCCTGATACGAATGACTGCATAGATGAAGCAGTTTTAACATTGAGTGGAAGTCTATTCCAACTCACTGCAAATCTGTAAACAAATGTTCTTTTGTCACATTCAGGTACGCGTACTTCGGTCTCATCATAGCCCTTCGCAGTCTCGGAGGCTTCCTGATACGAATGACTGCATAGATGAAGCAGTTTTAACATTGAGTGGAAGTCTATTCCAACTCACTGCAAATCTGTAAACAAATGTTCTTTTGTCACATTCAGGTACGCGTACTTCGGTCTCATCATAGCCCTTCGCACTCTCGAAGGCTTCCTGATTCGAATGACTGCATAGATGAAGAAGTTTTAACATTGAGTGGGAGTCTATTCCAACTCACTGCAAATCTGTAAACAAATGTTCTTTTGTCACATTCAGGTACGCGTACTTTGGTCTCATCATAGCCCTGCGCACTCTCGGAGGCGTCCTAATCCTGCTTGCTGCCTACCTCTTCAAGAGGAGGGAGCAGAACAAGCCCCTGGGGAGCAAGAACGGCGGCGTGACCAAGCAGGACATCGCCGCTTCTTTGGGCTCCCTGACCGGCTCTATGCACTCACTGGACAAGGTAGGCCACGACTTCAATCGCCACCACCCCCATCACGACGTGGAGAGAGACACAGAAGACCTCCGAGCTAATATCTGGAAGAGGAAGTTCGGGGATGCAGATCACATTCCTATGGCGTAGTTATGTTTACCTTCGCAGAAGGAAAAGATATTGTTTTTGCTCTATTTCTTCTTCCTCTTCTCCAAACAAATAAGCTGATACCTGATGCCTAATGACCTGAACCAGTCACCATGGTAACTAGTGTTGAGTTACATCATGTTGCAATTTTATAGCAGAAGGGATTTAGACTCCTGTCACCATGAATATGAATGGGTTTGAGTCAGAATTAATAGAGCAGACCATACGCGAAGGTAAACATTGTGCATTTGCTTTGTAAATGTTACCTTTCTAGTTCAGATTTGAAACTGCATCCCTAGCCTCGTTTTGGTGCAAGATCTCGCGCGGTCTCGCCAAGCTGTAGTCTCGCGGGAGCACATTTCAAAATGGCCGCCTTGAAATGAGCGTATTTCCCACGGGCATGTATATGACGTATGGGATGAATATGATGCATATGCATGTCTACATTGTCAGTATTTTGAAAAGCCATTAATTTATCTTCCCTGGACTAATTATACAGAACGGCTATTATGTAACATACTTAGGTGCACTGGAAGACGATAATCCCATTTTTATACCAGTATTTGGGATTGGTGCATTGATCAAAACGAATATATCTGGAGAAATATTTTTATATGTTTTAATCGGCAATTAATAGGGGAGTTGCAAATATATTGATCTTTGAATATCAAGCTACATTCCGCGACAACAATATTAATTGTATGCATAGATATTCCCATATACATTTGTTGTTTTATTGAAATTATTTAAACTGACAAAGTTCTTTCTACCAAGATGTTTATTACAGAATGATAAGCTGAACAAGTCAGTCTTTTTTAAAAACTTTTGAATATTCCAATATTGTTGATATTTCGATTACAATGTCGATCTAGCAAAATGTTGGATTTTTTTGTAAAAAAAGCAATTTGATCCTGCAATGTTTACTGACGATAATCCCATAATCCCTCATTAAGCATGAATATAATAAAATTTCTATAATCAGTGTTACTAAAATAATACCCAGGGAAATTATTTTATGTGAAATATGTATATTCTTATAAACGGTATATAATTTGGCATAAGATAGATACGATTTTCAATGGACATCTTGTCGTCGTCAATGGACAAAAATTCAGTGATAGAATTTTTTTTACATTTGAACTGTAATGTTACCAACAGTTTGTCACCATGGATTTTTTGCGACAGAAGTCATTTAACTATTGGAGCTGCTAAACAATTATTAAAGTTGAGTAGCAAAGTTTATTCGTAACTACTTGTTTAACAAAAGCCAATCTTTTCGATGACCGTCTGTCATCTTCATAAGGGCAGTTGAATGTGCACTGAAGCTAGGTGTTACTGGTTCACTGTGCACTGAAGCTAGGTGTTACTGGTTCACTGTGCACTGAAGCTAGGTGTTACTGGTTCACTGTGCACTGAAGCTAGGTGTTACTGGTTCACTGTGCACTGAAGCTAGGTGTTACTGGTCCACTGTACACTGAAGCTAGGTCTTACTGGTTCATTGTACACTGAAGCTAGGTGTTACTGGTTCACTGTACACTGAAGGTAAGTGTTACTACCAACAATGCGGCCACAATACAAAACTAAGGAACAATGCTGTGAATATAATTTCATCAATCCAAGAAATGATAATGGAGCTGTTGTCATATACTTTTGAAAGACTAGTTTTTGATATCCAAGAATCGTTTATATATATGTACAGGCATTAATTGTGTAATGTAGCAAGCAATGTATTAACATAACAACAACTGTTGGATTATATGAACGTAGGAACATGTTGTTATCACCCACGTGACTATGACGTAATGATTGTCGGCCATGTTGGATGGTTGAACCCGGATGTTCTTGTAAAGGAAATTTGTCATAAAATATTCAAATTCTGTCTACACATGACTTACGTTATTTTTTAACGAGGCTCTATGAGTTTTAAACATTTTCAGTATTTTGTATCTCATCATTATGTTTTTAATTAATTTGAACAATGCCTAACGTTAATGTTCCCATACACACAATGATTTTATTCAGTTTGATCACTGTTTTCTTATGTTGATGATAATCAGATTCAAAATATTATATCTGGGTGACTATATACTAAGAATAATATGAATAAACTTTGTAATCAGTACGTTTTGTTCTAGTTTTAATTCAACAACGAAATATAACTAAGATTAAACCATACACAATATGACCTTTCCTTCCAAGTATCATTTACAAAAAAGGTTGGAGGTATACTTGTTATGGATTCCTGCAATATGTTAAATAATTTGAAAACTCGTTATAGATTCTGAGGTCCCGGATATTGACCTACTAAACTCTTAACTCCCAGTATCCCCTCAAGGTTTGTGAACCACTTTCGGCGAGACGGTCGCCCGGTTAGAACCGGTTTGGCTCACTGGAATACACTTCTAACCAATCAGAAAGAAGAACCAAATCTGGTCACCTACTGTCAATCATGTAACAGATCGAATTTAGACCCTCGTCTCTCCCATCTCTGGGAGAGAAAACTTGAGGGCAGACACCACATTTGCGTTGTAGTGTCTAGTTTTAAAAGACCTTTGAAAATCCTTTTTTCTCTTGAAAGTTTCGGTGCATTTTGGAGATTTTGGGGCTGGAAGGCACAGGTAGGGTCAAAACTTTCCTACTTTGGTCAAGTTTTGTTTATTTCACCAGTTTAGTGGGCGTAGTGAGAGATGTGAGTGGCTAGGTCTAGCCAGGCGGATGGATACCATGGAAAATTAGATTGAAATTTTGTTACTATCATCAGCTGTTGCGGGAATTTGACCTGGTCGACCCCGTTTCCTTTCTATTTTTGGGAATCAGACCCTTGTGGCTACCTGGTGCAGAAAAAAAATTGAGATTGAAGTATGGGCAAGTACTTTCATGAGGACTTCTAATAGTGTATTTAAGCATGTGTTCCTATGGCTAGATCTAATAGTACTGCCTGTCCTTGAGGCATCATCCCGGCAGCATCCTTCACTTCCTACGAGTCAGTAGCTTGTTATGGTTCTATACGTTTGTATTAGCTGATCTACTATCTCTGTAGATCGAAGTTATCACTTCACTTCTGATTAGGTATGTGGTAATACTTTGGTTAGCGACTGTTCACTATATTGTAAATTACAGCCAGTTTTTTTTTTAAATAGCCAGGTTTTTAAAAAATATTCCAACATGTAATCACAAGACGTGGTGACAGCACACTCAAGTTTTTTTTTCAACTTATATTAATGCCGCTACCAACACAGGGGACAGTACAATACTCATTTTCACCTGAGCGAAGAGAGGAAAGTCGTGTAAAGTGCCTTTCCCAAGGGCAGAAGATCGGTGGCATGTCAGGACTCGAACCCGGGATCTCTTGGTTCCTAGTCGAGCACTCTGCCGCTACGCCACACGACCCCACAAAGCCATGGTTCACTTAGGGTGTAACATTTTACATGTTATAGTAAGCCCTCCTAAGGAGCTGGTTAGACCGTTCCTACGTTAGTTGATTGTATCGTGTAACAACTGTGTTATATACTGAATAGCAAAGTTCTTTTATCACAACCATTTATTTTTCAAGAGCCGACGTTTCGATGACCGTCTGTCATATTCATCAGGGCAATTCTGACTGCACCAAGTAACATCTAGCGTCAGTGCAACCAGTCAGAATTGTCCTGATGAAGATGACAGACGGTCATCGAAACATCGGCTCTTGAAAAATAAATGGTTGTGATAAAAGAACTTTGGTATTCAGTCGTTTACCAACCTGATGAAACTATTTACGGATGTGTTATATGCTGTATAGGACTGTTAGAACCTACTCTCTCTTAGCCAGTGTCTGATGTTGTACAAGGTTCAAAGTTGAATGAATGAATCTTCCGGTGGTGCGATCGAATCCCTTGGCCATAGGTTAGTTCTTATATATATAGTCTAGTTACCGTAGTTAGAGTACGGGTGACGCGTTGGACTAGACCTAACGCTAACAGTGAATCCTCCTAGACCTACGTAAACATTTAAAAACACACCAAGACAACTGTTACACTTTGACAAGGACAACAACCTCTGAGTCAGACAAATAGAAAAGTCTGCTCAAAAAGGGCAAAGGGCCTGGCAGCGCGCCCAAGAGATCCTATGGCGGGTCAGGGCCAGGATATAACGTTACGTGCAGACACATCTTCAAGGCGGCACAACACAGTTTTAGCCCTATGGGGATTTCTTTAGTTAAGGACCCCAAAGTGACGCACTTTGACTCACTAAAAATTATAGTAGGTTGCACAAGCAAGGTTCAGAATTTTGATATGTTGAATTTCAGGGTATAGTGTACAAAATATGTGAAAATGAGCTTAAATTTGCCGGCTAGTTCTTTTCTCATGCCCTCTTTTATTAGCACCACCGGAGGTCATGGAGCTGCAGCCGACGCACAGTACTAGGCGGGACAAGTATCCAAGCGCAAATCTACGCCGACTGAGCACGCACCATAACTCAACTTTTACAGTCTCAAAACTGACGTATTCCTCTCACATTCACCACAGGTTCCATCTCGATGCCATGCACAGAAAACAATCTCTGCGCCCTTCTCTAGTATTGTGCAGCACTACCTTGTGCCCGGACTACTTTTGACTACACGTTGTGGGTCCTTAATAGTAGACGACAAAACGCCATACTGTGCCACCACTCGATTTACACGAAAGTCAGAAATGACCCAGCGCCTAAGAAACCCCTTCACCCATGACGGACCGCCGCCATGAATACGATGCATGCCATCTCTGCCGGTCAAAGGTCATAACCGCAGGCAAAGGAGGCCCGTTTTGAGGAGTAGATATTTTTGCTGAAAGCATCCAACTGTAAACAGCCTTTTCTTGGCTAATTTCATCGTGTTATTTCTAACAATGCGGTCCTAAACGTTAATTAACTGTGATACACATAGTTTGACCAGATTGTTTTGAACAGCAGATGTTTTATTTGCATGTGTGCGGTTTATTCGTGCAGTCAGGTCAGAACGAAAGGTCAACGACCGAATGAACACATGTAAATGTTTACTAGTTTTCACTCAGGTAAGCTTAAGGTGGTCCCCAGTCTCACGCAGTCTACGCAAATGAGAATAAGTCTTCACACCTGTGAGGTTACTGTCCTATATGTCACTCTGAAGACGCCCTACTCAGGTGTATGGGACACCAGATGTACAGGTAAGTTTCCCTTGTAGTGTGCCCTATGATCATTCTGGTGTTGTGGTCTAGAATTTCTCAGTGACTTTGTTTGGAAAAGTTACGGAAGTAAGCAGTGTCATGGCCGCTTTTGTTACTTATTGACCAAAACTGTGCCGGAAGACCGATTCTCTCACAAACCTGCGTACTAAAGTATCATTCAACGCTAGAAAACGTTATTTTGGATATGCTACTAGACTTGTTGCTTTTGTATGTAATTGAACATACGTGTTAAGCGATCCGCGAGGTCGGTATTTCGAGCTTGTTTTTTTTTTCACCTCGTTTGCAACTAGACTAAAGGTCATTTCCAGGGTTGATTTTTGTGTTTGTCAAAATACATGTAGTAAGCGAATTTTTTATGCACTGTTTGATATATTGTGTATTCCGTATGTCAGTCTTGTTACAAAGATTGGGAGAATAGTATCCTATATATGCTAAAACTGGTTTAAGTCGTAGACAAGAAGAGCTGTCATTACATCTCATTCTCTCACTTCCATGCCCCTTGATACAGCTGCGGGTTGTTTTGTTGTAACTTTTTAATTTGCCTCTTTATTTTGGAAATTAGTTACACACGTCAATGAAGGTTAGACATCCAGGTAATACGATACGCCAAAAAGCAGTTACTCAAGCCACTGGATATGATTTTGGAAACGTCAGACGTTTCAGTATCTACTAGCTTTCAGTGACTGAGAGACCAGAGGAGAAATGCAAGTTTATATTAAAGCACTAACTATTGATTGATGTGCAAATAAAGTGAAGACAATTTCTTGGAAGTCGAAAAGGGAACAAAAGTCAGACACTTTATTTGCACATCAATCAATAGTCCTTATAAACCTACATTTCCCCTCCTGGTCTCTCAGTCACTGACGAAAGCTAGTGGATACTAGCTGAAATGTCTGACGTTTCCAAAATCATATCCAGTTGCTTGAGTAACTGCTTTTTGGCAATTAGTTACACAGTTATGTTGTTTTGGGGTGGGTAACTAAGAAAGATAACCAGACAAGCGAAAACCAAATAAACAAAGCAAATTTGGCATGTGTCGGATTTTTGTTGCTTTGTTATTAGCAACAAAAATCCGACACATGTCAAATTTGCTTCTGCCGTCGTGTTTTGGTTTTGTTTCTGCTGACATCTTCAATGACCCCCTAACAGCATTCAGAGGAATTGCAAAGGGTTCTAAGTGTAACGTCCGCCATGTCCAAGAACGCGCATGCGCAGGAGGAGGATGTCAGCTGTGGAGTTGGCGCCTGCAAACCAAGGTGAGTACAAAGGTGACGTCATCTGCACCTCAGAAATCCGCGTTTCAAGGACAAGATTTTGTCTTCAAAATTATACCTGTCCTTGGTGCTGAAACAGCATTCTGATAGTGTTATTACAATTCAATTGCTCTGTTTCTTCTTCTTCCTCCCTAAACAAATAAAGTCAATGACCTGGACCAGATGTCTGTCACTATAGTAACTGGTGCTGTAGCAGACACCCAGTGGTGTTGAAATACATTATGTAGCAAGTGGTGGGTACAGGATAGAGGATACATGGAGGTGCTTGTGTCAAAATATGATGGTTTATTTGCAAATTGACATAAAACTAAAACAACATCGCAGCCTAATATAACACAATGTATTGTACAAAAAGCTGAATTACGTAGTTTTAGGGAACACACAAAATATCATTAATATTTACAAACATAGCCATACAAGATGAATCTTTATTGCATGATTTTGCCCAGATGGGCTAAATGCACAAGAGGATATACAATATCCAAAACATGAGTACTGCATACTGGTACGCTATATTCTAATGCCAAGTGCTAGGGAACCATACATTACAACAATGCTATATACTACCTATCATCTAGTGTTAGTTGCCCTTTCTTTTCTCTTTTTGAAACATTTGGAAACATAATTACATACTTTGTCTGCTATACATGTACATTCGTTCTTGTATGACATATATGGATGTATTTGTGTAACTGTAAGAATAAATAGAGCAGCACTTCGTTAAGATTTGAGGGGAAACTTTGCTTTGCAGATGTTACCCTTCAAGTAATATTCATCGAAATTTGCTTGTATTTTTTTAGATGGGCCGCTCGCCTGGCCAATCCCAAGCTGTTCGTGCTGTCCTGGTGTTTCGTCATCATGACGTCACTGGCAGGTGGTGCTTACGTAGCCGGTGTGTTGACAACTCTGGAGAAACGGTAAGACTGACTTAGGCACCTCATTCGGCTACTCTTTGTCCTACTCTGAAAGTTATTTAGAATACTTCGTTATAATTTGTAATTTTTACTCCAGGTAACAATTTGTAGGAAATAAATGACCTTGACTGATACACACATTGACGAAAAAAAGCGGTTTATATTTGTCTAAGTCTTAAAAAAACATTCAATTTTACATCATGATCCATTTTTATATGCTTTCTTTGTATTTGGGAACACCCATTCGTTGTTTCGTCATTTGTTACTGATTGTATTCTTCTTTTTCAGTGTTGAGGCTTAAATTAGCAATTCACCAGTTTCACATCCCCAGAATGCAATGCGAAAACAGAGGTCTAACCCTCATTTGCATAGGACAGGAAGGCATCGGAATGATCCTGGTGACGTTAAACAGCTTGTTTTTCACTCTGTTTTGGGACATTTTATGCTCAACATTAATTAAATTACTATGGGTCGAATCTGACAACAAATACAGAATTTTTGTGTTCTTTTCAACATGGAACATGTGGTTTGTAACGATACAGCATCAGTTTAGCATTACCACTATACGTTACATATTAAAAAATTAATTTCTCCATTTGTTGTCATATTCAACCCATAGTAAACGTTGAGCATAAAACCACAACACCTCAAAACACACTGAAAAACAAGCTGTTTAACGTCACCAGGATTATTTCCGATGCCTTCCTGTCCTATGCAAATGAGGTTTAGACCCCTGTTTTCGCATTGCATTCTGGGGATGGGAAACTGGTGAATTTGCTGGAGTGACGTTATTATTTTGGGGTGTTTCTTTGTTAGGTTTGGTCTTCAAAGCCAGCAGCTCGGCCTGTTCAGCAGTGCTGCCGACGTCGGGAGTATGTTGACGGTTTTGTTTGTCACGTACTACGGAGGAAAGCCTGGCGTCAGCCGGCCCAAGATTATAGGTACATGTAACATTTTACTTTTTATTGCCATTTGAACATCTAGACATTGAAAATTGCACAAAAAATTAAGTAAAACGGACAATAACATTCTAGGCACTACTAGCTAGGTAGTCGTAATAATTCTGAAGTACAGAACGTTGCATTTCTTTACTTTTCATGTAGGCAGTAATAGAAATAGACCCAAATACCTCCGGGCTTGTTATTGTATATCTTTATATGTTGTTTGTTATGTATAGTTGATGGTGTTGGATTTTAGGTGTTAGATTTAGCGTTCCTGGTTGTGTTAACAATTGTTGCGCGCCACAGGACTAGGCTTTCAAACAAAGAATTAATCGAGACCGGACACCCCTCTGTGTGAGGGGTCATATACGTGGACCAGACCGAGAATATTTTAATCACGCCAAAGGTCAACGGTCGCGACCATTTTTACGCCCAAAGGGGTGTTCTGGGGCTTCCAAAAGGCACCATTTTCACGCCCGAAAACACATATACAATAAAAACAAAAGAACGTGCATCATCTACAGCCCAATAGCAAAACGTATACCGAGTCCAAAAACAATCCGTCCACCCAAACGCGAGAAACAGATGCGAACATGAAAATCTAAATCTCTCACAAAACCCTTCCGCGGAAAGATGTCTCCTCCCCCGGAGGTAAGAAAAAAAGATCCCTAAGCTTCTTGAAAGCTAAAAAAACACATATCTGTCTGTAATGTGTCTCCGGTCAATGTGTTTTGCAACTGATTTTTGTTATATTTCACTCCATAACATGATATGGATGAAATATATTGTTTATTTTATGTTTTTTTTTAATGATTTCACACGCAGCTGTCGGTACGTTACTCTTGGCCTTCGCCGCTGCTCTGTCTGGTCTGCCACACTTCATCGCTCCAGCTTATGATACCAACCTCCCGGGTACAGAAAACAACACCAAACAGGTGGGTAAGACGCCTGTCATTAAACGAACACAGAAAAATACTTTTGTTCATCTGATTGATAAATAATTGATAAATGAATAAATGAATGAAGCTCATAAAGTATTTTCTGCCGAAAGGACACTTGCATGGCGAATCAGACGGTGTCTTCGTGTGGGAAGGAGGAGGAAGAGGCAGCGTCTTCCCAGGGACAGGGGCTATTACTGCTTCTGCTCGCACAGGTACGTCATGACAAGTAGATGTACATCAAATTTACATCAACAGATAAGCACTCACTTCTGCACACATACTGCACATACCCCCCCCCCCCCGCCATCAGGCATATACCAACTTCTAAAAGTGGGGTCGTGTGGCGTAACGGTAGAGTGCTGGACTCGGAACCAAGACGTCACGGGTTCGAGTCCTGACATGCCATCGATCTTGTGCACGTTATAACTTTTCTCACTTAACTCAAGTAAAAATTAGTATTGTCCGGTCCTGTATTTGTCCTCTGCGTTGGTGGCGGCATAAAATAAGTTCGAAAAACTTGAGTGTGTCGTCACCATGTCTAGTCATGAAATGTCGGAATATAAAAAAAGTTTCTACAACTGCTGACGTCGTCACGAGTATATTCACACTGTACGAGGCAAACCTAAAAGTCAAATAAAATGCTAAAAATCTAAACTTCTTTCTTGATTTTGCTAATATCTTATTCATCCTAGGTTATATACGGGGTCGGCAGTACGCCTGTAAGACCTCTTGGAACAACCTACATCGATGACCAAGTGCCACGGGCAAGTGCACCGATCTATATTGGTAAGTGATTACTTGTAGTTATCATTTATTGTACATATCTGCCCCTTTGGGATAAGTATAGAAAAAGCAACATTAATTTTACTAGCATCTTGTTTACATGATGTTTACTACAGTTCTATCAGTTACTGGTCATATTGCTGCTATGTTTATGGATGGTTTTACACAATTTTTCTTTCACTGTATCATGTGTTGTATTAGCCTGGGTGCCATTCCCAGTAGTATATTCGCCAGCTCTATAACAGTTATAGAGCTGGCGAATATACTACTGGGGATGGCACCCAGGCTAGTGTTGTATTGCATCAATCAAGCAAATCAATATATTGAATTGTGCAACTGTAACTCTAATATATTCGATTGTTACGCCGTAATCCACTGTTCATTGTGCTTGTGGAAAAGTCCGAGGAAAAGGGGAATTTCCCCGGTACAATGAACCTGTAAATACTGTATATAGCGCCTGTCTTTTGTCACGACCAGTGTGGGAGATCATATCTTTTCAATGATCCAAAACTAGATCGACATTGCCTTTTTTTCACAGGAGTATCTTCTGTTGTCTTCGTTATCGGGATACCACTTGGATTCATCATGAGTGCCTTCGCTATCCAGTTCTACATTGACATCGACAAGGGCATTGACCCCGCCGAGTTTGGGATGACCCCAGATAACCCCATGTGGGTCGGTGCCTGGTGGCTGGGCTTCTTCATCTGCGCAGCAGCTTTAGTGGTGGTGGCCATACCCATGTTCTTCTTTCCCACTGGTAAGTGAGGGCCACACGTTTACTGTGAAATTCTACACGCACTTAGGCCATGTTGATTTGACTAAATGAATTACATGACAAAATAGATTTGATCATACTGTAATTCGTACGGAAGTATTGTTTTGGGATGGGTTTGTCTGTGCGTTTGTGTGTATGCGTGTCCAATAGAGACTTTTCTTTGGGAGATACTTTGAGAGCTTAAACCTGAAGATGACCAAGCACATGCCGGGTGGGGTAAGTGGGTGGTACATGGAGGAATTCAGGAAGGTGTTGTCTGTATGCAATACCTGATTAAATCATAGGTCGACATGGAGAACTCACGTGTCGAGAATTGCATAAGGAACACCCCCAATACCTCCTTTAAGTCTGAAATCTTCAATAATGTTTATTGCAGCGATGAAGAAGCCAGCAGACAGTGACGATCATCAGGAAGAAAAGGAAGAGAAGAGCGCGAAACGCCGGATGTTGCCGATGATAGACGACACTGATCGCCGAGAACCCCTTCTGGACTCCAACAGAGGATTATGTGAACAGCTCAAAGGTGCTGAGTTATTCTGAATTTGAAACCCCCTTCCCTCCCATCTTATCATTGTATTTTCCTGTCATCTCATAGTCTCGTGACACAGTCAACACATATCAACAGCCAACTGCCCCTAAGGCCACAAAATGCATTGGGAGTACCTTTAACTTCACACGGTTTCCTCTTTTCCTTCCCCTTCTTCTCCAAACACATTATATAGATCAATGATCTGGACCAGACGTCTGTCACCATGGTAACTGGTGTTGTAGCAGACATACTGTGATGTTGGGGTACATTTTGTAGCAGAACAGAAATGGAGGGGCTGGTAATTACCTTATACTTGTACATAAATTGTATACTATATCAATATGTTTGAGTAAGATCTAGCACATACATGTACAGAGCAGTAGTACTAGTAAATAGACTAGGCCATATCAAAGTAAACATGATGCATTTGCTTTTTGCTGATTCTATGGATGATTATATGGTTGGACAGATATGGCGAAGAGCCTGAAAGACATCTTGACCAACGCGACCTTCATGATGCTGTGTCTGTCCGGAGTCTGTAACACCTCCATCTCCGGAGCCCACTCCTTCATGCCGAAATACATGGAGGTGCAGTTTGGGATCCCCAAGTCACAAGCAAATATGCTGGTTGGTAAGTCGTAATGTTATTACAGTTTTGCGTATACTGTTTCATCCCATCGTCGCCGCCATCTTTGAAAGTGGGCGTGGCCATCTTTGAAAGTGGGCGCGGCCATCTTTGAAAGTGGGCGCGGCCATCTTTGAAAGTGGGCGCGGCCATCTTGGAAAGTAGGTGCGGCCATTTTGAAAAGTAGCTAGGAGCGGCCATCTTGGAAAGTAGGCGCGGCCATTTTGGAAAGTTGGTGTTGCATTCCAAAACGTGCTCCATTCCAAATCATGATTTGGAATAAGACGAAGTGGCATGCACCTGCATTCCAAAACGTGGTCCATTCCAAATCATGATTTGGAATAACACGTTTGGAATGCAACAGTTGTTACTGCCTTCTTGGAAAGTGGGCGCGGCCATCTTGGAAATTGGAAATTGTCGTTTCATCCATACATCAGTAGACATTACACGGGGAATTTACGGATGCACTTGCAAGACAAAGATATACCCAGTCTATTTTACCTGCAATATTATTATGGTTATGGGGTGACATGAAACTAGTACTGACATTTTCTGGGTACACAGACATAATGTAATGTAGTGTAATGTAGACATATGTGAAGGTAGACTTGATTTTAACTGGTTCTATAATGCCTTTATGCACATATTAGCCCCCGTTGTTCTACCTTTCATGATCATCGGCTTTCTGGCATCTGGGTTCATCATCAAGAGGTTCAAACTGACGCCGAGACAGTGTGTTTACATGAGTATCGTCTGCACAGTCGTGTCGACTCTAGGCTTCATCGGAATGTTCTTCTTCACTTGCCCTGTGCCACCAATGGCGGGAGTCACTATACCGTATGGATACAGGTAATTTGTAGCCACTGCTGTGTAAAAGAGAAAACAAACTAGAAAGGTAACATTTGCAAAGCAAATGCATAACGTTTACCCCCCGTCTTTCCAGAAAATTAATATACCAATTTTTTTCCACCACAGCCCCTATATGCCCAACTCTCCCCAGCTTTCAGCTGCAGACTTCAACCTGCTCTCCCCCTGCAACACAAACTGCAGCTGCGGCACGGAAAAGTACAGCCCGGTCTGCGGATCGGACGGAGTCACCTACTTCTCGGGCTGCCACGCGGGGTGCACCGTAAAGCAGAGCTTCATGAACCCGATGGGGTTCACCCTCGCGGTCAGTACTGTTACAGTAGTAGTAGTAGAAGTAGTAGTAGAAGTAGTAGTAGTAGTAGTAGTAGTAGTAGTAGTAGTAGTAGTAGTAGTAGAAGTAGTAGTAGTAGTACTAGAAGTAGTAGTAGTAGTAGTAGTAGAAGTAGTAGTAGTAGTAGTAGTAGTAGTAGAAGTAAGAGTGGTAGTAGTAAGAGTAGTTAGAAGTAGTACTAGTCGTAGTAGTAGTAGTAGTAGTAGTAATGTGATACTACCTGGTGATGTTACGCTGATTCGGCTGCTTTTCGTGAGTCATGGAGTTTACGAATATGAATCATACCAGTTTCTCAAAGAAATACAACAAATGCTTTCATCGGGATAGCATAAATAGTTGTTTGTTTTCACCTTTTGTATATACAGAACTATTCCAATTGCGCTTGCTTGGCCAAACTACCACCAGCGGTTCTAGCTGAAAAATTTGGGCTTGGTGGTAAGCAACATGGTAGCAAACCCTCTTCAGATGGACAGATCCCACCAGCAGCCGGAGGGATGGAAGAAGAGAACGTGCGACAAAGGGAAAGGAGGAACAAAACTACTCCAGGGATTCCGGGTGACCAGGATTTCGGAATCAGAATTCCGGAATCGGAAGGACAAATCCCTGGAAATAGTACAGGAATTCCGGATTCTGGGGATCAAATTCCCGGCAACGGAACAGGAGTTCCTGGAATGCGCATGCCAAGCTTCGCCATTGGTGCTCCATGTTCCCAGACATGTTCACAATGGAAGTACTTCCTGGCAAGCTTTGTCGGTGTCGCCTTCGTCGGTTCCTTTGGAATGATCCCCACTATCATCTCTGTACTCAGGTAGGATTAGAATCTAATTGATACTAACTCCCTTGCTTTATTACCTAACAATGGACTTACAAGCTGTATTATGTATTGTATAACATTAGGATGATACGAAAAATAAATTTCCTGCTTGCTCATTATTTTACAAAGTAAGCTGAATCAACCCTACTCCATTGCAAATAAGAGCCATTTGGGAATATAAGGTGCCGAAATATGGCGCCTTACGAGTGTGTTTAAAAGCTGAAAATATGGCTGTCAGCCATGTTTGTTTACGTTCTGATACATTTTGGTGGTGCCACAAACTGAGTGCGCCATAAATGTCAGAAATGTGAGATAATCGCAGAATATTTTGAAACATTTCCTGTGTTTTATTGTCTTCTATAGATCATTGACCCCCGAGACGAAATCTTTTGGCATGGGAGTGCAGGTTGTGTTTTATCGGCTGATAGGTAAGTTTCTACCATGTATGTTGCTATAAGAAATACCACATTGAAAACTCACAATGCATATCTATTTGTCTTTCAAATTACCTCAATATCGACGACTCGTTACCAGTTCTTAGATCTGTCACAATCTCTTCACATGTTACTTGCAAGCAAGGACATACTTTGATAACGACAGAGAATTAATAATAAATTCAATGGCTGATATGAATTGTTAGTGATGGTTGATTTGCTTTTTTTCAGGTTTTATACCTTCGCCTATCTATTTCGGTGCCCTGATTGACTCCACTTGTCGTTTGTGGAGCACCACCTGTGGAAAGAGGGGGTCCTGTCTACTGTACGACCTGGACCGCAACCGGTACGTTTATAACCGGTGTAGTAGTAGTAGTAGTAGTAGTAGTAGTAGTAGTAGTAGTAGTAGTAGTAGTAGTAGTAGTAGTAGTCATAATAGTAGCAGTAACGTTAATAGTAGTACAAAATGTAGTAGTAATAGTGAAGGTGGTGGTAGTAGTAGTAGTAGTAGTAGTTGTTGTTTTAGTAGTAGCAGTAATAATAGCAGTAATAGCAATAGTGGTGGTATTATTATTATTAGTAATAGTAATAGTAGTAGTAGTAGTAGTAGTAATATTGGTAATAGTAGCGGTGGTGGTAGTAGTAGTAGTAGTAGTAGTAGTAGTGGTAGTAGTAGTAGTAGTAGTAGTAGTAGTAGTAGTAGTAGTAGTAGTAGTAGAAGTAGTAATTTTGTTTTGTGTATCATAATTGTGATATCATCATCAGTCTCTTCATGTAGAATGGCGGTCCCCTTGTTAACATACCCCTAGTACGCTAAAAGATCTTATCGAAAAGAGTAGGGGTCCTGCCCGGTGTGAGTGGACCAAACCATGCCGGCCTAAAATGGGGTAGGGAATCTCCCGAGCAACGTTTGTTATAACCTTTGCTTCTCCTCTTGGGTCGGTTAGTCTTCACTCCTAGATCCTAGTGAGCTTTTGAGCTGACTTCAATAATAATGTTTCTGACTATGTTTGGGGAAGAAATGTTGTAACGTTGGATTGACCTACGAGCCTAGCCTTGTTACGTGGTGACCAATGAGTAAAAAAAAAACTTTCAATCCTGGGTTAATGGTACTTGAAGGAATGACTATTTCTTGTTCTCTTCTTGGCAGGTACTACTTCCTCGGGCTCATGGTCATCTTGAGGATGTGCAGCATCCTCTTCGAGCTCGTTGCCGCTCACCTCTTCAAGAAGCGGGAGGAATCGAAGCCGGAGGGCAAGGAAGGCGGGGCGACGAACAGGGACATCGCGGCATCGCTGGGCTCTCTGGCCGGCTCCATCAGGAGCCTGGACACGACCGGTCGCGACGAGAACCCGAAGGATACGGAAGAACTGCGGATGAACATCTGGAATAAAGGGGAGGAAGCGGAGGAAGCCAAGCCGCTTGCTTGAGCCGTTATGAAGCAAGTGTAAGGTCACAAATTGGACTAACAAAAGTTTTTGACTACACGACTCTTTTTGTTACGGAATGAGCATTCCACTGCTTCTGTGACTGAACTTTAATATGCGTATAACATACGTGAGTCGGTGAGCAGTGGATTCTAGGTTTCAGGAAGTCTGTGGCACCCCCCGTCTCGTCTTTGTTGAGGGATGGTTGTAATGCCATTTTTGTGGACGGTCTCTTGAATACTTCGTGCAAAAAAGCCTGATTTAGTTGTATTTCGTGGCAAAGACTAGAGTTGTACAGTTGAAAACTTGGGTTAGTCCAATCTCTTGTGTTGGAAATTACAGTCAAACTTCCTTCAAAATGACTTCTACCAACATAGATCAACTTTCAAGATAACGCTGAACCGGTGTTTTCGTTTAAGCATTTTGCTGCTAAGGGTGGAGGGTATCTACTTTGTCTTTATTATAGCAGACTGCATTGCTGCAAAAGCAAAAGAGGGAAAGTTGGGCATGTTTTTTTTTTATATCGAATGCATTGTTTTGGTTCCGAAATGTGTGCAAGAATGTAACATTGTCACTGTGATACTCAGGAACAAAATATAAATTTGCTGTTTTATAGGTTACCGTTTTTAATGATATCTTTAGAATTGTATCCAAATCCGTTTGGTTTAACCAGTCAAAATGGCGCCTGTGAACATTCCTGTATCTTATTTTTTTCACATTTCATCTTTGAAGTTTATGACTACGAGTCTTTTTCTCATTTTATTGACTTCTCAGGAGGTGTATTATATTATATCATATTATGTACAGAATATTATTACCATTGTAAATTGCATGGCATTTGGGGATTCGGGTAAAAGTTACGAAAGCTGTAGCAGTTATATTACGAGTATTATCCTATTGAATAACATATTTGTATATGTATTAACATACTCCCCATTCCCTTTTCTGGTTCCCCTTAATATGTCTAAGCTTGTCTTTACACCCAACTCCGCTAGATGTCATCTTGTAGTGCATGCATGTGGCAACTGGTCTGAAGTAAAATAAAGCATGGGGAGACAAACGTCAAAAACAGTTCAAAAGTAAAGGACGTCTACAAAATTAACCACTGATACCATGATGAATGCTTTTCCAACGCTTCATTCGACATTTCATTATTGATTTTTTCAAGTATTAATAGATAAAAAAATATTATTCTCTTCAACAAATTTTGGAAAAGGCCGGACATTACGTCAAAAGAAGCAAACCTTTCAGAAATAGTTCCAGACAATTACCTTAAAAGTTTTATACTTATTTTGTTCGCTTTATCACTGTTCTTTTGTACATGTTATTTGAAAGTAGCCTTCGGCGAGGAACTTGCAATAAACTTTACTATAGTTATTATCAATTCGTATCTTATTAGTTGTTTCATTTACTTTTTTCAAGATGTCATAATGCCAATATTCTGCATAACTATTCATATATTAATAATGAGGATACACACAGGCACTTGATAACGAAGCTTAAGTCAAAAACAAATTTAAATCTAATGTAAACTTCTTCAAAACCCCTCTAGTGACCATAAAATCCCTGTACAGGTAAAGCCCCGGTCACAACCCGCCGTGCGTGCTTTTTGTCCGTACGTGTTTTTGGGAGGCCACGTCTGCTACGTTACCACGAGTGTGGTCTGAACGCCACGTCTGGAGGCCGTACTCACACGTGCTTCTTCCGCACGGTACGTACGGGGCACGCGCGTCGCCCGAACTCGCACGTACGGGTGGTGAATCCGCAGACCGCACGTAGAAAAAGTTTTACATGCACTTAAAGTTCTACGGCGTGTCTGCGTGCTCCCAAATCCGTAGGATTTCGTACGGAGGCGGTACTCACCACGCACGGATCCCCTACGTTTGCCCACGTTTTTGCACGTAGACAGCACGCAGATGCACGTACGGCGGGTTGTGACCAGGGCTTTATAAGGACTAGAGCCGAATTGAACAGCCCCTCCACCCTCCCCTAAATGGCCCTATATAACAAGACGAAAATGTTGAAACCCAACACTCCAAGGGCACTAGTGTATGGTACATCGTCTGAGTGACTTTTTCGTCAACATCTTATGTGTACCAGACCCTCTCTAACATGCTTACACGGCATAGTTCAGCAGGCCGTTCTGGTACAGTTGGTAGTATTTGACTGGAAGGCATATGAGACAGGTAACCATTGTACAGTACACGTGCGCCCTGTTACAGCCTGGCCCGAGCTGATGCAACGCTACAGAGGTGAACCACAGGTCAACCAGTAGTATGGTCAATAGTACTTAGAACTAAAACCTCTGAATAGATATATTACAACATTATTTTTGATTAGATATTTGGTGACCAGCTCCTCCAACTGTGTCCTACAACTTGCTACATAATCTTGTAGAAAGAATACAAAATAACCTTGTAGCAAGACTAGACTAAAAATTCCCACGTTAATATTTTCTACGCTTAGAATCGTCAAACCCACATGGATCTAGACAATGTAGTGTTTTTCTTGTATTAGGAACGTTTAAGCGCCTACTACGTAGTTGTATGCTTTGTTACAATTCAAACAGCTTCTAAATATATAATTTCTAAAAATACATCATCTAATGATATTACTATTTTATCAAAGAGTATTTCCTTTTTTCAGATATTTCACACAACGTATGTCATTCCGTTTAAACTTTTGTATCTTTTATAACCTATGTTCTTTTAAGTAATTAAAAATTTTATATGATCATGGGTCCTCGTGGGTTTATTGCTAGATAAACTAATTTTGATGACGTATGTTACAGATGTATATTTTATACTTTTATACTTTACTTATACTTAAGTATTTTTCTGTACTATCTTCTTCGGAATTGCTAAATATTCCAGTACATCATTTAAACTTCGAAGCAGTCATATATAACCTATTCCTCCTTTTTTTTTATCATCTACCAATAATAAGAAACTATTGTTGGGTTAGATGCCCAAATTAGAGTGGCTTTAATGCGTGCCCACAAGGGACAAACGGTATCTCCGATGGGTCAATGTCCGTACGGATGTAACCCAGTGATGCACGCATCCGCACCGCTGGTTTGACCATTATCTATGCCACGCTCCAGGGTAAAGTGATCATGGTGCACGGCGCTGACAAGATGACACTGCAAAAATTTCCGTGACAAACAAAGACCGGTAGTGTTCGCCTGTAACACCGTCGTGGGAGGCAGAACGTGAGATAGAACTATTTCCCGCCGTGTCAATGATAGGTCATTTCACGTGCGGTCATTTAAAACCATTTAAAGTTCGCTTTTATAGTTTTTCTTGCTTCGTACAATAGTTACAGCGAAACGGATCAATTGTTACATTTTTGTGTTGTAATTGGGAGGTTAGTTTATGTTGGGGAAAAAGTTTTCTCTGATGACACGGTAACTTGTGTCTGTAACAGTGCATGACAGCATGGACAAGTGACAACTTAGTCCCTACCTTTAAACGAACAAGGCTCAATCGTCGTGGCAATTTCGACAAATCTCTATCCTATCTTCTTTTCAAATCATCAGTATTTTGTAGAAGGGATTTATACTTATGCACACACATCTTACGGCAAAAAGTATTGAGCTGTCAGTTAAAAAACCCAGAAGCATGTCCACGTACGAAAATATACAGACAACTATGGTAAAATAAGCCAAAGAAATGTTGGCCTAAATTACAACATGTACAGGAGATAGTATAGCAGAGTGTACATGCACTTAAGCGGCGTCATGTTAGTTTTTACGGGCCTTCTAAAAGTCTAGACACTGAAAATCGGTCGACCGGAATATTCAAAGTGTTCGTGACGTCACTAGATATGTTAATTAGCCGGATGAGCAGGTTATCTTGTGGGGTTCACTTGGCAATTAGGACTACTCGTCTGACAGAGGCCTCGCCGGGCAGACACGTGAAAACTACAGGTGAGCTTTTCCCTTAGTCAAAGCACACTTTTGTCGTTATGTAAGTGTCTTGCCACCCCATTTGAGGAACAATTTAGTTTTCAACACTTCTGTGCATGCATTGTAAATGTGCAAAAAGCGTTCGACTCCGCAGTTGTTTTGCCGAATTACTGGCTTCGTTAGGCGGATTGACAGGTAATGCAGTCAGGTAAAACTAAATGTTGTGCTCGCCGGATGTACATGAAAACCACAGGTGAGCTTTTCCTTTAGTCAAAGCACACTTTTGTCGTTATTTAAGTGTCTTGCCACCCCCTTTGAGGAACATTGAAGTTTTCAACGCTTCTGTGCATGCATTGTAAATGTGCAAAAAGCGTTCGACTCAGCAGTTGTTTTGCCGAATTACTGGCTTCGTTAGGCGGATTGACAGGTAACGCAGTCAGGTCAAACTAAATGTTGTGCTCGCCGGATGTAGTGTATTAAATTTAACGATCTTTTAACTACCCATATATTGTAATTATTGGTCATGAAATATATCTAGTTTTACACTGTTTATGAAATGCGTTGTTCAATGCCATAGCTAGGATATCAACTTGTCAAACTCTGAATCGGTATTTTGATACGCTAATCTAGCCCCATAGCAAGAACAGCTATAGTGCCCTACTTTCAAGAATTTCTTTTATAATGTTTTTTTATTGAAATCTCTGGCGTTGTTTCTTTGTGTGTGCGTGTGTCTGTGTGTGTGTGTGCGTGTGTGTTTGTTTGTGTGTGTGTGTGTGTGTGTGTGTGTACTAGCATATAATGGAGTCGCGTGACCATGTATTTGTCTTGACATGTTGACTTTCCATTCATTCTACCGTTCTATTAACTGTTTAAACATGAGCTGTAACATTATATGTAACCATTACCTTCAGTTTACCTGTTCCTCCATAGTTGTGGCATTTTCTTACCTTCCTCAAATACCCATGGGGGAAGGAATTTTGTTGTCTTACCAGACGTGATTAGTGGTGTAAATAATGAGATTAACTTTCTGATATACCAGCTTTGAATGACAGCAGCAGTGGCTTTTGGTAATCCCCATATCATCCGCTTTACTCAGATTCTTATTCGTATTCTAAACGGCTCAGAAAACCATGTGTAACGTCCAGGCCTTTTGTTGTTGTTCCCTATAAGATTTGTCATTATAAGGCCCCGCCCCCGTGAACAAAATATACAGTATCATACAATGAGAGAGCTTTGTCTAACTCCCTACAAAGTTTGTAACAAAAAGTAGTAATAGCTCTGGCAGAGTTACTGAGAGGTGGCATTTTAAGAATTTAAACGCTATAAGGGCTTTACTTTTCTTACTCATGCACAACATTCTACGGCTGTATCAAGTTCCCTGTACATTAATACAGTCGTGCTAGTGTTGGCATGGACCAAAATTGTTTATAGGGATACTGACAGCATTGCAATACTGGCACTTTAAAAAGAATACATGACTTTGTACGTGTACTACGTAGCACTTGGATTCGTCGATGAAAATGAGACATCAAGGTAACGTGATACCCAAGGAAATTCTTACTCAAACAACTCAGAAAGTTACTTAGTCTATCCTGTTGCTTGCGAAACAATTTTCTTGTGTTGTCCTTGGATTCAATTCTAATTTCTATCTAATCATCTTTAGTATGTCATTAGATATATGTCGATACTTTATTGTTCAACAACAACAACAAGAGTTAACCACAACTACATAATTTACGGCTGTTTTGTTTTATTGAAAAAGATGTTAGATTCGGGTTTATCTTTAGAAATAACTATCGAACGTTGAGCATTTGACAATCCTTCATGAAGACTTGATTGCTTCTAGATTTATTCCAGCCTTGACTTTTTGGCACCTTAGCTTCTTCACAGGCTGTGATAAAGGATAACAAAACATGGCTTAACACGTGTTTTGCCTCAGGTTATAGGACGTACTGTGTTACAGCTAATACTGATGCTTGTTGTAACCCTACTTAGAGAATTCTTACTACTAGTAATTTGTTGCCTTTAATCTTTGTCAAGTAGCAATAAGGAGACCAAATTTAAACAATATACGAGTATTAAATATTGGGCTACTAGAAAATTGTCACATGTACAGTAGACAGGTGATCATTATAGGTATGATTCTTTATGTTCGGTTAAATGGAAAATATAGAGTGACCAAAAATGATCACTCTGGCCAGGACGTCCTCAAGTTAAGTATGTAGTTTAATACTACAATTGTTGGCATTAGTACAGGTTTGGTTGTATGTCGTATACTGGTCGTAAGTTGGTGGTATTGGAAACCTGTGTTTAGTTGTACAAAGGTATTACGTCAATCAACCAGAACGATAATTTGTCTTACTCATAGGGATCGCCCGTCAACAGTGTTATGTTAATTACTACCTGGAAATGTCCAGGCTGATACAATCTATTTATATAATTATGGTCGAACAATACCTGCCTTATAGTTCAGACGGTTCCAGGTCAGTTAACACATAAGAAGGGGGCGTGTGCTATCCTTGCGTAACATCTTTTAAAATCCTTACCTAACTGCATGTATTTTTCTGTTTGGCCTTGTTTCTTATGAACAGTTTTAACAATTGTTTTCACATCATTTATATATCCATTCAAAGTTTTGGATAAATAGTTGTCCAGCTACAGATTCCGTTATTAAGGAAACGTCGTGGATGCTTCTTGAAACGCCTGACAGTTTCGTTGTAAATCAGTCAATCTATTTATAATTATGGTTGGACAGTGACTGCCTTTTAGACCAGAAGAAAGCTGTTCCAGGTCAGTTAACACATGGCGAGGGGGCGTGCATCTTTAAAAGTCCTTACCTAAATGCATGTATTTTTCCGTCACCACTTGTCTCCTATCGACTGTCTAAACAGTTGTGTTCACCTGAATTTATATCCATTTATGGTTTTTGATAAATACTTCTTCAGCTACACATCTGGGGTCGTGTATCCTAACAGCAGAGTGCTTCACTCAGAACCAAGCGGTCCGGGGTTCGAGTCCTGACATGCCGCCGATCCTTTAGCCATGGGAAAGGCACTTTACACGACTTTCCTCACTTAACTCAAGTAAAAAATGAATATTGTCCTGTTCTGTATTTGTCCTCTGTGTTTTTCCGGCGGTATAAAATAAGTTTATATAACTTGAGTGTGCCGTCACCATGTCTAGTCATTAAATGTTGGAATATAAAAAATCTACAGATTAGTCAATGACGAAAATTAGTGGACGCTACTTGAAACTTCGGACAGTTTTCAAAATCTATCCAGTTGCTTGAGTAACAATTTTCCTGTAAAACAGTCAATCTATTTATAATGGTGGAACACTTGAAGGCTGCCTTATAGCCTAGAAGAAGACTGTTCCAGGTCAGTTAAGTCACAAGGGGCGTGTAAAATTCTTGCGTAACATCTTTAAAAGTCTAACTCTTTTTATATACTTCTTAAAATAATTGACGAAAGCTTTAATAACTATATCTATTACTGTGGTCACCCCCTATGGTTATTGTACCATAGAATTGTTTCAACTGTCATTTGATAGATATGGCTATTGGACTATACGTTGTGTATACTGACATATATGCCGAGGCACTTTGCCCTAAGCGTTGCGTTGTTCCGATGATAAGATAAAAATGAAGCGTCCGGTATGTGCCTGAAAGAATGTTGGTGTTTCTATGGTCTAGTGATTCCAACAACTGCATTGTAACACTGTTGTACACAACCATGTAATTACAGTGTACAGCTAAAACCTCTGTCACACATAGCGGAATATGGCATTCCGAACATTAGCCAAACTCACCCCAACCATGGTCAAATCAAATCTTCATTAAACATCAACATGGCAGACGTGCCGAAATGCTTCGGGCACGTCTGAATTGCATTGACATTTTACAATTATACATCATACAAACATCATTACAATAGATTAAAAGATTAAAAACATCATCATCATTTAAAAATCATCATCATTAAGAACACGTAGGTCAAAATAGTAACAATTTCAGTTTAAACTAGAAAGGCCAATATTTGCTTTGGAGCAAATACAGCGATGGGTTCACCACATTTTACGACATGGCAGGGAAAGAATGAGAAACACAAGGGAAAACAATGATTTACATTGATATAACTATAATATTAAGTAACATACAACTAAAACAACAGTTGGATAGCTATTCCCTACTTTATTGGTTAGGATTTTTAATTGTCATAATGCAAACTGTTGATTTTCAAAATAAATAAAAAAACGTTACATAGCCCCGCATTCCAATGCTGGAGCAGAAAAGCTTGAAATACCTACCAAAACACTTGAATAAAGACATACTGTCAGTATGGAAATGCTCTGTGCAGGTGTTAATCAAGTTAAATCCCAACAGCCAATCAGCAAGAAGTATAGAGGAAAGCTGCATGCCTATTGGTTGATGCCCTGCATTCCATTGTGATGACTCATGCCCAGACGTGGTAAACACGGCACACCAACACAGTAATACATTTGCTATAACACAGCCAAAAACTCAAATAAAACCATTCTAAAAGCCTGTATCACAAAAATTTAAAAAAGCCTAGGGGTATTTGCCCACTGTACCTCCATACCAAATTTCAGGACCTTAGGCCCCAAAATGAAGAAGCTGAATCCATTTAAAAAATGGCAGGAGAAGAAGAAGAAGAAGAAGAAGGAGGAGGAGAAGGAGGAGAAGAAACATCAGAAAAAGCAATATGGGTTCACCACCACTTCGTGGTGTGGTGAACCCATAAATACTAACTATAGTGTAGTATAGTATAGTATAGTATAGTATAGTATAGTATAGTGTAGTATAGTATAGTATAGTATAGTATAGTATAGTATAGTAAAAATACTAACTATGGTCAAGGATAAGTTGGAAGCAAGGTCGACTGGACGGCTGTGTTTTTGTTGTTGTTGGCCATGTTTCAAAAATGTTAAAAACATTCGTGTGTAGCCTACGGGAAGCTCAGCCATAGTTGGCTGGTATATACGTAGTTGGCTGGTGTTTGGGAGTAGGTTGAGGTGTGGTTGGCAGCCACTTTGATTCGTATAGAAAGGTACGCGTGGCCTAAATCACACTGCTCTCGAACGTCAGTCATCCTTGGTCGGCTGGTGGTCGTGGTGTGTGACAGGGGCTTTAGGTAAACAGGTCACACAAAAAAAATAGTCAGCTACAGATACATCTAAACATTCTCAATCTAGCACTAGTATTATAGTCTCTTGTTAATCACTTTAGTTTTGCTTTGTGATGGCGAATGAAGACCTCTATGGTACATTTGTTCCCCACTGGGCTAAATACAGGTCACATGCTGACAATCATATACACAGAGTATGTGTGTGTACATATATAAACGTCTAGTGCACTCTAAATACATTCGACTTCCTCTTGCTTCCTAGTAATAGTGGAAATATACGTGGCTGTATGATTAGTTAAAGTTGGTTTGTCGAAGGCTATACGGAATAAAAATTTGCATGTACTATCAAAATATTTGAAGTGAAAAAATTTACTTGACACATAACTGAAAAGAATGATTATATCGCTATTATACAAAGGACAATCCAGCAAAATGAATTTTGGCTTCTACTTTACCTACACATAATATAGTCTATCACTATAGTCTAGACCTATTCTTTGTGATGGTGAAAGAAGACCTTTATTGCACATTGATGTCCTACTGGGCTAAATACAGGTCACATGCTGACAACCATATATGGCAGATTTTTCGATGATGAAAATGTAATAAACCATGTATTCATTCACAGGGTCGCACCAAACATGGCGAACGGGAACGCGAACGGTTCCGGGCCGCCATCTTCCCGTCCGGACATCATCATCAAGCGGGATGATGATGATGACGATGAAGAGATCCTGTGCGGGATCGGCCCCTGCAAGCCACGGTGGGCCGCCCGTCTAGCCAACTCTAAGATGTTCGTGGTCTCCTGGTGCATCGCCATCTTCTCCAACATCCTCATCAGTGCCTATCTGCTGGGGATCCTCACAAGCTTGGAAAAGAGGTAGGGTGTTAAGTGACGTCGGGTGGTGTAGTGATAGATCACTCGACTATGAAGCGGGGAAACTCGGGATCAATTCCGAGTCGTACCCGGGACATGTCTGGACATGCGCCCTGACGTTGTGTCTTTGGAAAAGGCACCTTACACGAATTTCCTCACTCCACCCAGGTGTGAATGGGTACCTAACTTCGGTTGGGGAAAGTCGTATTGAGGTCACCTTGTGGCGCCGAATGGCAGCCGCACAGACCCTTGCGACTGTTCCACAAAAATAATTGTGGAACAAATATGTGTATCATGTGTATTATTTGGTTGTTGTAATTGTTGTGATTTGTATTGATTATTATCTGATACCCTGCATTAATTCAGCCGTATAAAGGCTGCGACTGCACGGGTACTGTTTGGACAATAAAACCCTTTTTTTAATGCAAGCTGCAATATAAGCAAATGTGTTCAACTGCCTACGAAAAACCACTCTTTCAAATCATTATGATCCTTCGTTTATTTGTTATCGTTTATATTATCCATTTGCTTATTTGTTACTTGCTTTTTGTTACTTGTTGTTTTGCTATTATTATTTACCATTGTATTTACCTTTCTTTGTCAGTAATGAGGCTAAGATTAGCAACGTGCTAGAGTTACCCACCACTGTGTCCTGTATATAAGTTTCTATGTTGCTCAATAAAAATGAGCAAATAGATGCCGTAAATTGAAATAAAAAGTATTGGAAAATAATAGAATACCAAAATCAATTCCAAAAGAAAAAGGGAAATGCGAAGAAACGAAAATGAAGAATCTATTATTCGCCATACCATACTCTGTGTGTTTAGTCATTTGTTTAACCTTAGTGATCACGTAGATTTCACAAAAAAGGCAACTTTTTTTGCCAAACTTTTTTCTTTACAATCGCACCAGTGTTCAACATGGCCTAATTAATGTCCAATGGCAGTGCACATAGGAATTGCTGTAGTCCTCATTAAGCTTCTTACAATCAGACTATGTTTCTAGACAGGATGTTATTTGAATTTATTATCATTTCTTTTATTGCAGGTTTGGGTTACAGAGTAAGGACCTAGGTATGATCGCTAGTGCTGCCGACATCGGGAGTACTGTGACGGTCCTGTTTGTCACCTACTATGGAGGAAAAGTGGGAGTGAACAGGCCGAGACTCATCGGTAAGGAATATATATATAATAGACTTGATTGTATTGATCACATTGTTATTGTTGCCATACATTGTACCATGTACAATTGTCGAGCAATAAAGTTCATTCATTCATATAATAGTACATGTACTTCCCACAAATCATTGACTATTGCTAGTATCATAATACATGCAGAAAAATGTTTTAAATATATAGTTTGTTATAAAATATTGACGTGAATTGCTGAATTATATCATTGACTTCAAACCCGTTTGACTGCCAGCAACTACTACTAAAGTAATTGGTGCTTTGTTGTCCTACCTGTTGCCTAGTTTTAGTTGCACATGTGATGTTTATGTTTGATGAACATGCATGAAGTTTTGCTTCGGTTCTTCTTGAAAACAGGCACAGGTGTCCTACTTGTGGCCGTCGGTAGTTTCCTGTCTGGAATGCCACACTTCGTCACTCCTGCGTACGAGGTGGACACAGAAAGCGTGCAGAACGCCACTCAGAAATCATTGGTAAGCGCTTTAGCAATGTTATTTATGGAACTGACGTCACGAAAGCCACCATCTTGACTGCAATTTCCCAAAATGCAATTGATATAGAAAGATGGCGGCGACCGACCGGCTCTTTCTCCCTGAATGCAGTGATTCCAAATGCTATGTTGAATCCACATTGCAATGTATGGATTTAGACTCATAAATCGATTATGCAATTGAACAATAATAGATGACGGAGAATGATACCAATCGCTTGATATAGCACGTCGGCAGAACGTACTGCGCCTGCGCAGAACCATGTATTTTCATGATTTTCGGTGGATTTTTGGTCAATGTTGCATCAGAATTTTGCCTGTTGCAAAGGATATCTTTTCCTACCTAACATTTGGAAAGTACAGACGGGATGTTAACCTTATATGCGCTAGTACGACCTTATATGAGACGTTCTGTCGAAGTGCTATGTACAATACATTACGGGTTTCGTGCTGGTGCTGTACGTTCTGCCGACGTGCTGCTTGATATGCATAAGGAACGTATCATCAACCAATAGGAGGCATCCTTGACACGTGACAAGAAACCGTTGTGTGAAGGAACCAATGGTCGTCGAGTAATCGCTGAAAAAGTCTGTGAATGTTTGTTTGATGTAGGATGTTTGTCAGGCCAATCAAACCATGGAGGACAGCTGTGACGCCAACGAAGCCATCGAGTCATCTAACAAGGGGGCCTGGTACGCAATTCTGGTGATTGCACAGGTAAGAGGTTCATAATACTTATAGATAAAATGTATTACAATGCACATCCCTGGAGGCTGTTGAATGTGTTATTGGTCTGGCATCCAGGCTATGTTTTTCATTGCTAAGGTCTGTAGGAGGTAGAATAGTCGACGTACAAAATGTAAGAGCAAGGGATTTACTTGGGAGTCAAGTTACTCCTAGTAGTAATCTTCCACCATGTACATCTCAATAACTTTCTACCCTGTTTCTACATTTTTTCAGATGATCATGGGAGTAGGCTCTACTCCCATTATGGCCCTGGGAACGACCTACATCGACGATCACGTGATGAAGAGCAGTGCACCGCTTTACATCGGTAAGCATGTTTAATCGTTAATAAATCTTTAAACATTTGTTGAATTTTTTTTAAATACGGAACAGATTTAAATATGTTTTTTTTCTATTCTGCCTTTCTTTAGGGACTTCGTACATCGTGTTTGGTCTCGGCCCACCCCTTGGCTTCATCCTAAGCGGCTACACAGTTCGGTACTACGTGGACTTCGACAAGGGCATCGATCCCCGCTTATTCGGGCTGAGTCAGGACAACCCGCTGTGGGTGGGAGCGTGGTGGCTCGGGTATTTCCTCGGGGGAGCGCTTCTCATCTTCGCGGCTCTGCCCCTGTTCCTGTTCCCTGCCAGTGAGGATTTCAATTTTATGTTGTTGTTGTTGTTTTCTTTGTTCACTGTCTAATATATCGCTAGACGTGGTCTCTTGGTGCTGGTTTACGCTTGGTTCAGTTCAGAATCAATCGTCTTTCTTGGTATTTAAACTCTTACGTACATTTGCTATAAATTTTGAACAACGGCCGCCATTTTGAAATGTGCTCTCGCGAGAGCACAGTCTAGCGAGAGCGTGAGTTTGCATGAAAACGAGGGCGGGAGGGGCTCATGGTTTCCTTACAGTATGTTAGCATACTACTAGACTACTTATAACCAATGTACAGTGAATAGAATTACAGCTAAGTTATACTTTCATGCTACCCCAACAGATTCAATTTTGACGTCAAAGCTTTTGTCAGACATTTTGAGAACTAAATTCTAAGGAATTGTTCACTTACAGTGTTGAAGGCACCACCAGAAGAAGACGAAACTGAGGTGTTGAACGCTAAGAAGAGGATGATACCTGGCATGGGAGTAGAGGGACCACGCAAGCCGCTTCTTGATCCCGCCAGGGGGCTCCTGGAGCAAATCAAAGGTAGGTGGGAAGATACACCACGTGACTATGTCATGATACATCACGTGATTGCCCCGTGATACACCACGTGATTGTAACTGGATCTGTGTTTGGTTAGATGATGCAATACTAGTATCATAGTTTAAATTAGAGGTGTTTCGTCTGTGATGTTCTTTGACTTGAATATTGCTGACTACCATTAAGAATTCCCTGGGCCTTTTCGGCAGAAATGTGTCCTTGGCTATATTCATCCATTCATTCATTCATTCATTGATTTATTCATTGATTTATTCATTGATTCCCTCATTGATTGATTGATTGATTGATTGATTGGTTGGTTGATTGATTAATTGATTGATTCATTCATTGATTCATTGATTCATTGATTCATTCATTCGTGATAGGCCAGACTGAATGTGTTTCGCCATTGACGTTCTCTAGCTGGAATAACACTGACTACCATTTAAAGAAGGCAGCCCTAGCCCTTTTTGGCAGAAATGACTCCATTTATTCATTCATTCGTTCATTCATTTATTTTATCTTCCAGAGATGGTCAAGAGTCTGAAGACGATCCTGACCAACTGGACGTTCATGTTGCTGGTGATGACGGCTATCTGCTCCGTGTCCACCATTGGCGCCTTCTCCTTCATGCCTAAGTACCTGGAGATGCAGTTCGGCATTCCCAAGTCCAAGGCCAACTTTCTGTTAGGTGAGAAACGTCTTTATTGCAGTAGATGGTTTTCATGTGCGCTATTTTTCTGCCCCTTCTCTCCTTTAACATTTGGTTGTATTGTATCAGAACCAAGCACTCATAGATTCAGTGTCCTCAACATGAATGCCATGTGTTCACGAAATTGTATGCTATAGTCTTACAACGAACACGACAAGTTTTATATATCTATGTTCAACTTTCAGTTATACGAAAGGATGGATACACGTATTGTATCCATCCTAATGTAATGAGGAAGAAACGTCGCTTTTACTATAAGTTTAAGCGTGCTAAAATGTCATGGTCATTACTGTAACACTATGATTAAATGCACAAAAATGCCAGAACAAAGAAGTAGCATATACGCAACACTTTGTATCATCTACCGTTTTCCCAGCTGAACTGGTCATCTTCAGGCATGCTTACTGTATATGTTCAATTGATTTACAGCACCAATATATATATATATATATATAAATATATTCTCTTCCTCTAACTTCCAGGTATGATCTCCCTGCCGTCTTCTGTTGTCGGTATTCTTGGATCTGGAATCATCATCAAGAGGATGAAACTGTCCCCCAAAGGATGCATGTACTTATCCGCAATCTCCATAGTCATCTCCAGCTCTTGCACAGTTCCTCTCATGTTCATCAGCTGTCCCCAGTCGCCGATGGCCGGTGTGACTGTACCGTATGGATACAAGTAAGTTCGCAACTGTTGTTCCACTGTATACAAATCCCATGATCCTCTCCTACTCTTCTGTGCAACTATCGCGCGATCTCGCGAGACTTATCTTCTCTCGTGGTTGGTAGATTTCAAAATGGCGCGGCACTGACCTACTAGATATTAGTATTTTAGTCTTGAAAATAACAGTTGTGTCTATTCATCAATTTGGTTATGACAGCTTCATTCATATTCAAACTTGATAATGGAAGTAAAATATGCTACTAATATTGTACATGACATCTGAGTAAATGCTACGCAATTAAGGTAATTTTGTCACATACACTTTTGATTAGTAAATATTCAAAGTAGCTTGCTTATCCTCGATGTGGTTTCTTGCAGTCCGAATAATCCAAACGAAGCAACATCGCTACAAGGCCTACGCCTGATCTCATCCTGCAATTCTGCCTGCAACTGTCCCCTCGACAAGTACAAGCCCGTGTGCGGATCGGACGGCGTCACCTACTTCTCGGGCTGCCACGCAGGATGCACCGAGGAGCAGGTCATCAAGGGGCCCGGTAGATTCAGCTTCTCGGTAAGATTTCAAAGGCTGTTATCCTCTAATTACATGTACATACTGCTGGGGCTAAGCGATAACAACACACTAACGTTTCTTTCATTGAGACAAAGTCAAAACATTTTCCATTTCAAATTGACCATTGCAAGGAACTAGATAGAATTTGATGACGGTTTCAGATAGCCTCCACTGCCTTTCGTCAGTGACACCAAAAGCGAGAATTTTAGTCACTGACGAAAGGTAGCATGTTTCAGGTAGCATCCACTACCTTTCGACAGTGACTAAAAAAAAAGGATTTCAGTCACTGACGAGAGGTACACAAATGTACCTTCCACCACCTTTTCGTAGTAACTGAAAGATTTTCAGTCACTGATCAAAGGTAACACGTGCACGTTTCAGCTACCACCATAACTCACGTGGCTTAAGGTCTATCTCTTTCAGTCATTGACGAAAAGCAGTGGATGCAACCTAAAACCTCTGACCGTTTTCAAGATCTATCCAGTTTTAGAGTTTGGATATCTAACCTTCATCGACGTATTTTCTATTTTATTTTAATGTAGAATTTTTCGAACTGCGGATGCATGTGGACCCAAGAAAAAGCTGCTCCCAGTAGACAGAAGAGACAGGTCAACGACTCGGCAACTCCAACAACAGCGTCAGCTTCAACAACACCATCCGGAGACACAACAGATGCTTTTACCGAAAATCCCCCGCAAGCAACCGACACCATGGAGGCTGGCACGAAAGAAGGAGCCGAGAACTTCGCCATATCGAAGCCCTGTCGACCACCTTGTGGGAAGTGGTCGACTTTTGTCGGCATCTTTTTTGTAGCGGCGTTGTCGAGGTCGTTTGGCTTCATTCCGGTCATCATAGGGACACTTAGGTAAGTGGCATCACCTGCAAGATATGTTCACAAGTTTCAAATTTGGCAGATATACTTTGCATCCACCTCCTTTGACCTTTTAGACAACAGAAAGACAGAAGTGTAGAAAAGAAAAGTTCCTTTTACGAGATGGTCAATCAAGTCATCACTCTTGGGCTCTTGTCGCCACAGATACGTCTCTTGGATGTCAATTGCAGATTCTTTTCTTGAATTAAAATCTCTTCATTTGAAACTCCAAGGCCTATATAACTGCACCAGTGTACTGTGAGATAGAATAGAAGATGAAGATCATTTTGAAGTAGAAAGTATCTTGAATGTACAACCAGGAGAGAGCCAAACTACAATGTCTCCCTACTTCATACACCTAAGTTCACATCTCTAATTGGCTTAATTAGATAAACCTCTGATCCTAAAAGATGTCTGTTCACACCCTTTAACCATCATAGGGAAGAAGAGAAGTCGAATTTACTGAATAGACTATAGTGCTAATTATAGCTTTATTCTTTTGCTGTGATCTGTACTTAACCCAGTGCGTATGAAGGTGTACATTATTTACCTCGGGGCGGGTCATTAACCCTTAATTGTTTACCTCTTGCAGAGCCCTGACGCCTGAAACCAAGTCCTTCGGCTTCGGTGTCCAACAGTTGGGGATAAGACTTCTCGGTAAGTAGACTGGACAAAAAGCAATACATACATGGAAAAAGAAACTTAAATATTTACTGGTAAATTAACACACACAAAAAAAGAAAGTATTAGGCTATTTTGCTATTGTAATGATTGATTTTTGTGATTCCCGAATGCAAACTACTGTGATATATGAGTTTTTCGTATCGGCAGTGGATTGCTGTATCTCTTTTCTTATTATAATTATATATAAAGAGAACATCTAATTTATTTGGCATGCTCTGACCCAGGGTTCATCCCGTCACCCGTGTATTTCGGCGCCTTAATCGACGCGACCTGCACCCTGTGGTCCTCGGTCTGCGGCAAACGCGGCGCCTGCCTCCTCTACGACCTCCCGAACAACCGTTACGCCTTCATCGGTGGACAGCTGGTCCTACGCGTCATCAGCCTATTCTGCATTCTCTGCGCAGCCTACCGCTTCAAGAAGCAAGAAGAAAGGGAACCAAAACAAGATGGCGCCACCTTGGGAGAGCTGGCAGTCTCCATGGGGTCCCTGACGGCATCCCATCATTCCCTGCGAGCTTCCCGGCATTCCCTCGCGTCTTCCCGGCATTCCCTTGACGTGATTGCTGACACCAATATGAAGCCCATGATGCCCAGGGACACCGAAGACTTGCGCGCGGGATTATGGAAGAAACACGGCGATGTCTAAGTAGAATCGGAGTAGACATTTCTTCCATGCACGTGGGAACAAATAAAGTCAAAAGTTTGCACTATGAAACAAGATTGAACTGCAATTGCCACCATAAAAACAAATTGAACTCACCCAAATTTTCGACTGAACAACTCCAGTCTTTGTCAATAAATGAGCAGTCCACCGCTTTCGTGACGAAAATGTGGGTGAGTCCAATTTGTTTTTGTGGTGGCAATTGCAATTCAATCTTGTTTCATAATGACTTCTACCAACACAGATTCAATATAGAAGTTTGCACTGTTGTTACAGTTTTTTATCGGTCGTATTGCACGAAATCTAGAATGATAGCATTCCTTGTAAGAAGGAAATTATTACTACCTATTATTACTTGTTTATATCAGAAGGACAAGGAGAATCTTTAACAAAACTAAACTTTAATGGTCTCTAGAGGGGCTGTCCTTTTAACACACATATTGGAAGAAAAAAAATGAATTCAAGTACTAGAGAATTAACATTTGCAAAGCAAATGCATAATGTTTACCTTCGGACCTGGTCTGCCCTGTTGATTTTTACTCAAACACATTCACATACATGTACTACAAGTATATGGTGACAGAAGTAGAGCAGACCATGAAATTGCAACATTATGTAACCCTACACCAGTCACCATGGTGACAGATGTCAACAAATCATGTCATTGGCCAGGTAGAGGTTACTGTTTGGAACAGAAGAGGAGGAAGAAACTGAGTAAAAACAATATGTTTTCCTTCGGTTAACATAATAAAGAAACAAATATGAGTCAAATTAATTTTTGTACGCGATAAAAACCCAACAGAAAGAGAAGTTCATATTTTTAAAATAAAGCAACCTTATCAATGGCTAAATGTATTTTATTCAAGGAGTGGTCTACTATAATATTTTTGTATCACATTCTTTCAAAATACAGAGGGTATATTAAATATATATATGGTGTAGTCAAGATTTGATACGAAGCTCTCTTTTTTGTTTTTAACTTAATAAGGGCAAAGATGCCAAAATGCACATTTAACTTTCTGTATCTATATTTTATTGAAGCCTTTTTCACATGATATACAAAACTGAATATCGGTGCCTGTATAATCGTTGATAACAGAGAAACCTTATGTAATTCAGACTTTATATTTCATTATATTTTACATGTGTGTACATCAATTTTACGCCAGGAAGTATTAATAAACATTTCTATTCTGACCTATTCTGTTATAACAAATATACAATTTGCCATAACATGCTATGCAAGTGGGTTATCGGTCTATGCAAAATCACTGTTATGTAAATCTCCCTTCTTTGGTGTAATAAAAGAATCAAAATCCACTTCTGTAAGGGTACGTGTTGTTCATGTTTGTCCAAAGTTTATGTTGGTGTCTATGAATATTTACCACATTTGTGGAAGAATGGAATTTTCAAGAAAAGAAAAGAATTTTCAAGGATCTCTGACTTTACGTCCTATCCGAGAGGACGTCCCTAACCAAAGTTGGATACTTATTCACCCCTCAATCGAGTGAGAAATGCCTTTCCCAAGGACACATCAAGGGATTCGAACCCATTACCTCTGAGTCAATGACCCCCACCACAAGACCACCTTGCCATCTACATGTTATGGATGAATAGCATCAATTTTACAAATAGAAACCCAGTGCAAAAGGAACTAAATACCCTTAGTTCCTTTTGCACTAGGTTGATATTTATAAAATTGATACTAAATATCCTACAGTGGGGTCGTGTGGCGTAGCGGCAGAGTGCTCGACTCGGAACCAAGAGGTCCCAGGTTCGAGTCCTGACATGCCACCGATCTTGTGCCCTTGGGAAATGCACTATACGACTTTTCTCACTTAACTCAAGTGAAAATGAGTATTGTCCTGTCCTGTATTTATACTCTGTGTTGGTGGCGGCATAAAATAAGTTGATATAACTTGAGTGTGCCGTCGCCATGTTTGGTCATGAAATGTTGGAATAAAAAAACAACAACTAAATACCCTGTACCTCGGCAACATCAAAGAAAGCGGTTGTCTTGTTAAGTGGTATCAGAGGGGTATAATTAGGATGGAAACGCACGTTTAAAGTTAACGGTTAGCATTGCTAACAGCCAATAAACGACCACCCATGTTTCGTGCGAGCGAAAAACACAGGTCAATGCCCTGTCGGTTGAAGTAAAAACGGAAACCTCAAAAATGGTTGGGCACGTGTCAAAAACAAATGGCAGCTTAGGCTCCATTTGTCTGTCGTTTAACTCTGACCTTCTGCGTGTGGCCCTGTCAAAATGGCGGCGTTTTTAGGCAATTAAAAGACAGGTGGTCGTATTTTTACAGTCCACGATGGAAATCCCGCATACAAGTATTGGGCATTAACCACGTGCATGCTATAAAGGTAGAAAGTTAGATTAGAAGAACTTCATATTATCACATGGTTTTATACCATTCCTCTGTACATTCTGTACCCATCGTCCTTGTACTGGACTTGCATGGACTTGCAATGAAGAACTTCAAATATATATTTGAAATACTCGAAAGGACTAGTGCTAGCGATTGTTTTGGTATAACACAAGACGTAAAGATGCTACTTAGTAGATTCTTCTATATGTATGACGGTGCAAATGTGTCTTCTTAGACGGCTAAGAGTCTTTTAACATATTGCAAGGTTTATGAAATATTAGTATTTTGATTGAGTAACCCAGTCTGTCAGAACAAGAAGAGACTCATTTTCACCTGAGTCAAGTAAGGAAATATGTGTAAAATGCCATTCCCAAGGATACAAGCCGGGGATTCGAACACAGGACCCTCGGATTCCGAGAAAAGAACCCTAACCACAAGAACACCTCGCCACCTATTACCAGCATATACTACCAAGGTTCAATCTTCGGCCAAAAGTCAGTACACATGTAATCGACACGGGGTCTCGTCACAGTTCGTGGGAAACCGCCCGAGGCTTACAGGTGGCACAGTAAAAGAGACAACCATCCGTCAGTACCTATTAACATGTTACCCTGAGGGTTGTGGACATGCCATGATACATTACCCCACAGACAGTGAATGCTCAGACACGACCAAACAACGAGGGGCCCTCCATGTACATCTGTACTTCCAGAAGCAAACGTAGCACATTTTACTATCAATTACAACTATATTTAAGAAGTTTATACATCCTCAGTAAAGGAATATCTTGTTAACAACGTAAAACGTCTCTACAAAATAGCTCGCAGCTGTAAGGTGTGATTCTATTTTGAGCCCAGGCAAGATGTGAGAGTTGTTTGTTTGAAGAAGCTTCGGGCGATTCCTGATGACTTAAATGGTGATTGACCCGTATTGACCCGGAGTGTCAGTTGTGTCTTCCCCAAGATGTCAAGGAAAGGGCAGGGAAGTTTCATATGAAATCTTCAAGACATTTTTTTCTGATATTAATAAATGGCATATGCTGAAGATGTGTTACTAAAAGATTTCTCTCAATAGAATGTAAGCTCAAGCAAATTTGTAACATTTTTGCCACAAAAAATGACAAGCGTTGGTGTATTTTTTTTCACTGCACATTCCTTGTCAGGTTATCGTCTTAAATTAAATTTGACTCAAATTTACCTGGAATTCGATTAGATTCGTATAGAAAATTAGGAGTAGTATGGCCCAAATTTGGCCAGAATGCTCCTAAATTTAGCCTGGTATCCAGTCTGATCGTGATTGGGGGTATTGGGGTGTTTAGGCAGGTTGTCTTCGGGGGCTCTAAGAGCTTCCCCTGCCCAGTGCAACAGACCGTCCCGGTAGGAGTGTTAAGCTAATCAGAGACAGTATGCTCGGGGATTTGGTCCCCCCCCCCCCCATGTTCGTGGAGGGCTAATGAATCTCTCGTGAAATACACACCGGGAAACCTATGTGAGGCGGGCGGGCCAGAGCTCTTACGGCCCCGACCACGATCAGACTGGATACCAGGCTATCCTAAATTCAACCAGCCTTGGTCGTCTGGTGTTCGGGGGAAGGTTCTGAATGTGTGACAGGGCATAACTGACTGTAGTAACTGAGTAGTTGGACAGTGTACGTTGTTGCACGCATGTTGTGAATGGTACACAATCAGGGGTCTGTCTAAGATGCCTCGGGCACAACGCCAAACCAAGGATGACAAACAACCTATTAGCGAGCCCCTTGCAAAGGGACAAAGGTGAACAAAAAGTCAGTGACCTCTAACAAAGGGGATTTAAATCCTTTCACCACATGTAACATCTATGTCCATAATATCACCAGGGTCCATAATATCGCCACCTTGAGAAACAGTGTGCTTAAAGATATTTTTACTGCAACATACTTTTGGTATGCACTCCTTCACACATCAAATGTACATACCTAGGGTATGTTGCAGTAAAAATATCTATAAGCACACTATTTCTAAAGGTGGCGATATTATGGACCCTGGTGATATTATGGACACAGATTGGCACTTACCTGTGTCACTTTTCAAGCACGTTTGATTTTATCAGCAAAGAATCTGCCAATTTTTAAAGTTTAGGTAAAATGGAAGACGAGGTATGTTTTACTGTAAATTGTTCTTTGTATGATAGCGAAAAATACATTCTTTTCGATTATGTGTTAAGTACATTTTCGGTATTTTAGGTATTTGAATAGTATAGAGAAATTGATGTTCCTTACAGTGTTCAATAAACCTAGCCTCTACTAGGCTTTGGGAGGCGGCTGAAAAGAATGGAAGTTGGCCAACTAGAGAGATAGCATGCCAGGGGAGTTGGCCTGCTGGAGAGAACAGTTTGTCGCTCATCTCTATTTGGCCGATTTCTACTCTTTCCAGCCGCCCCCCGAAGCTTGGTAGATGCTACAATAAACCGACTCTAACCAATCATTTAGCCACCTACATTTATACAATTACCAATAAGGTGATATACACATCTATATTCATTGTATATATGATATATGATTTTTAAGAATACTTAACGGGATCATTTTGAGATTCAGTAGAATTTTTGAAATTTTGGCTATGTTTTAACAACGTAAATGCCTCTTTTTGTTGACTGTCTTTCTGTCATGACAAATTTCTTATGATTCTACATACTTACATGTAGCTTGATGAACATCTCAGATCAATTGCAACTTATTAGTTTTTCTTACAAAGCGGTACATATGGACCAAATGTTTTGTTGTAGCTCCCACCGGGCCTTTAATAGGGGGTACGGATCGTAGAATTTGGCAAAAAAAATTAGCCGCGACAGTCAGTCCACGAAAGGGTAAATATACCTCTCCAAATGAACTCTAGAGGTGGCTAAACTTCTCTGGCCAATTATTCTGCCAACTTGACCGAAATGTACTGTTTTTGAATCGGAGTGGGTAGTCTGGTGGAGACAATTTTTTGCTGACCGTTGCGCAAGAACAGCTCTATGACATCACAAATGAAGATTGTCCTTGCCTGCTGACCCGTGTAAATTCCGCTAAAGGCGACCGTGCCACACATGTGTGGTGAAGAGCCGCACATTCCGTGTCCTACACTCTCACTGTCAACAGGTGTATCAGGTAGGACCTCTGTTTTAAACTTTGCTTTATTCTAATTTTTAACTCCATTAAAATCACTCTATAAAGCCTCGGTCACAACCCGCCGTGCGTGAATTTTGCCCGTACGTTTTTTGGGAGGCTACGTCTGCTATGTTTTTTTTCTGAAAACGTGGGGAAGGAGTGGCGTCGACGCACGTCACTCGCACGGTTGCGCAAAGTGTAAGAGTGTGGTCTGCACGCCAAGTCTGGCCGTGAGCGGTTGCGTGCACCGTACATTGCGCAAGTGGCAAGCGAGTTGTACGTGCGGTCTCTGTGCGATTGCAACTTTACAGTAAGGAGGCCGTACCGGTACCAACACGTGCTTCTTACGCACGGCACGTACGGGGCACGCGCGTCGCTCGTACTCGCACGCCCGGGTGGTGAATCCGCAGACCGCACGTAGAAAAAGTTTTACATGCACTTAAAGTTCTACGGCGTGTCTGCGTGGTCCCAAATCCGTAGGATTCCGGATGTCCTACGTTTGCCCACGTTTTTGCACGTAGACACCACGCAGGGTTGTGACCGAGGCTTAACTTATATCGAGAAAATATAGTGCTTCCACAATTGCTCGATGCGAACAAGCTTATATTATCATACTTCGATGAGGGTTAGACATCCAGGTAGTACGATACGCCAAAAAGCAGTTACTCGAGCAACTGGATATGATTTTGGAAACGGTCAGACGTTTCAGCTAGTATCCACTAGCTTTCGTCAGTGACTGAAAGACCAGAGGAGAAATGCAGGTTTAGAACCAATTATATACTTTAGGCAGGTCATATTATCATACTTTATAAGCATGATAATATGCCACACATGTCACCGATCTTGTGCCCTTGGGAAAGGCACTTTACATGAATTTCCTCACTTCACTCAGGTGTAAATGAGTACCTAGCTTCGGTTAGGGACGTCCCTCGGATAGGACGTAAGCTGGAGGTCCCGTGTTTGAGGAGAGCCACACCTCGAGCACGTTAAAGATCCCACCATACCTTTCGAAAAAGAGTAGGGGCATGCCCCGGTGTGCGATGGTCCAAATTCTACAGCCAGAATCATCAGCAAGTTGATGTTGGCTACCTTAACCCCCAAGACCAAGACCAAGCAGAGGTTGACTTGGAATAATGTCAATGAGATTTTCTACGTAATGTTTCTATCAGTCTTTCCAATCACAATGGCTTGCTTATAGGTTACTAGCTGTTTTACTGGTTAGTTACGACTTTGCTAACATAACAAATTCGAAATTGATATTTTCATAGCTAATTATCTGCTTCTTAATTTGCAGACTGAAAGGATGGAAAGTTATCGTTGGATTTTATCATTACATGATTGTACAAGCTTAATTAAGTAAGCATTGGCGCAATAAAATAGCTAGATCAAATATTTGGGGGGGGGGGAATCTGCTTTATGAAGTGGGTTCTTATGTCATTTGTGAATTGTAAACAACACGGATGTTTTTTAATATCGATCATTATCCTCGCTACTTGCTTCTCTCACTTTGTACTGTTAAGTTAAGCCCAAGGTCTGTTCATGAAATTGAATGTTAACTTTTTTATTTGTCATCTTAACATTGTATCACCTCACAATGTATTATATCACCTCATAACATTGCATATCGTAGTCTAAAGGACATTCGTGTTGTCTGTTCATAACAAAACCAATTCATTTATTGCCGCTAAAACGCCGATTAAATTATTTTCAAATCTTTCATATGATGATGCCCACTAATTTGGTTGCTATGTTTATTGCAATCAATGATTTTCTATGTACATGTACATGTATATCTATTGAATATGTATCGTATAAAAATGTCATGAATGATGAAGGTATGGTTGGTCTTGACTGTTCCACCATACATTATGTGGAAAATTGTTATAAATAATCAGTCTTAGTAACTACAATCGTTGAACACCATTTGGTACAACTGTGATCAGCATTCAGCTAAAGAGAATAGACTAGCTATTGTTTCTTCAAGTTGATAATGCATTTACATGTACGAAGCTCTATCTGATTTGGCCTGCCTTTGGTGACATGTTTACAGTACTAGATTGCTAAATAACATTGGCAAACTGTGCTACGTAGTCCTCTTACCTTGCCCACGTGTTCTTTGGTTTTGTCTGAAATGCAGTACAATTATAGCATTTTATGTCATATACACGTCCTAAAGAATACCCAATGCCGAATAATCGGTGTGCAATTCAGTGAGATCAATGAAATTATATATCCATACATGATATAATGTCGTTGATCAGAACTTATCATATTTCAAGCTCAGGATCAAGTCCTTTCTAGAAAAGGGAGGTTATCGTATCTGTATTGGTCTTGGTCTTGGGGGTTAAGGTAGCCAACATCAACTTGCTGATGATTCTGCTACACTGTAGTATTTGGGCTGTAGAATTTTTGGTGAACAGGGCATGCCCCTACTCTTCAAGTTTCGAAAGGTGTGGTGGGATCTTTAACGTGCTCCTCGAACACGGGACCTCCAGTTTACGTCCTTTCCGAGGGACGTCCCTAACCGAAGCTAGGTACTCATTTACACCTGAGTGAAGTGAAGAAATTCGTGTAAAGTGCCTTTCCCAAAGCACAAGATCGGTGACATGGGTGGGGATCGAACCCTGGACCTCCAGGTCCCGAGCCGAACGCGCTACCACTGCGCCACACGACCCTACGTATTGAGCCGATGTGAAATGTTTATCTTTGGGTTTTCTGCTTTTTTTTCAGACATGTCCATGTTCAGCAGTTTGCCTGACCTCCGCCAGATGGCGCTTCATCAAAATGGCCGCCCCCTGCTTGACGTCACGCCTCGATACGAACCATTCAAGACGACAGGAGAAATTCGGGAGGAGAAGAAGGAAAACTTTCGGTTCGGCTGGTTTGGTTTCACGCCGGATTTCCTACAAGTCTTCAACACTTCAAGATGGCTGCTCTTCTTCGTGGGTGTTGCTGGTGCCCTTGAGGTAAGACGTCGTCCTTGTAAGTTTAGATGCCCTTCGCAAGGTGGCGCATAATCAAAATGGCGGCAAAATCAAAATGGCGGCTGGACGTAGATAATCACATAACAGCTAGGCTAACGAAATCTATAGTACATTTATTACCTTCGCCAAGAAGGTTATGTTTTCAGGGGCGTTCGTGTATGTGTGTGTGTGTCTGTCTGTCTGTCTGTCTGTCTGTCCGTCTGTCTGTCAACACGATAACTAGAGAAGGTCTTGATGGATTGTCTTGATACTTGGTAGGTGGGTAGGTCTTGATGAGACCTCAAAATGATTAGATTTTGGGCCACCTGGCGGCTTGTCATGGTACTGCAGCAGAACTTCCGGTTTTGATATCTCATGATCCAGACATGCTAGGGTGACGAAATTTAGATGGTAGATAGCTCTTGTGCTGGGGACAAAGTGACATGAGTTTGAGCCCCCTAGTTGCTTGCTCTAGAACTGCAGGGGGGTTTAATGGACAAATGTTTAAAGGAGGATAACTCAAGAACCGATGGATGGATCATCGTGATTTTTGGTATGTAGGTAGCTTAGGTGAGGTAGCTTGAGTGATGCTTGACATAATGATATTACAATTATGCAAATATAGATGTAATTTGCATAATTAATGAGGAAATTCTATTTATCAGCTGCATTCCATAATAGGAAGTTCAAGATTGTGACATATGTTATTAAGAATGAGAGAAACACAGGCAGATATCAATTATGCAAATGAAGACTTAATTTGCATAATTAATGAGAAAATATTATAATTGCATAGTGGTAACTGCCTGGAATTTTATACTTGGGGTGTTTGAAAGTTAAGTTAAGGTGAACATAATTAAACATAACTTATTCAAATAAGGACCTCATTTGCATAATTTATGAGAAAATTTCATCATGGCATTCTTTGTTAAGATAAGACTGTCTTTTGGTGGAGAATATGATCAACAGATATAATTCATGCAATTGAGGATCCTATTTGCATAATTAGGGGGATTAATATATAATTTCTTAATCATAAAAGCTAACATCATTTGGCGAAGGTATGAGATCGTGGAACTCTAGTTCGTAATTTTTTCTCTCGCTTTTGTGTTTTGATGCAAGTTTCCTATTGCAAATCTTGTGTCTTAATTATTATATCACTGCTTTTCCGGCAGTGTACCTCAAATTTTGGGTTCATTCCCGGCATCATTTCTACATTGGAAAGACGATTTGAGATGTCAAGCTCCAGGAGCGGCTTCATCGTCAGTTCCTACCAGATCTTTGCCCTTATAACTGTGCCTTTCATCACACACATCGCCGGGAAAACACACAAGGTAGGAAATTTGAGAAAAAGAAATTATATGTTGTCATGTTCACCTTCACAAAGAAAAAGATCGTTTTTCAAATGTCTTGTAAAATATTTTTCTTCCATTGTAAAAGTGGATGCGAGAATATAAGTTGTACCTAACTTGAGTTCGCAGTCACTTAGTCCATGTCTTTTCATTTGTATATATCATTGTGTTTCTGAATAAAAAATAAAAAAATAAAAAAGGTCCCGTTTCACTCTGTTGCAGAACTCATCTCCATCACCTTTCAGAAGAGAAAGAAACTGTTTTTGTTGTTTTTCCATCTTCTCCAAATACGCAAGGTCAATGACAAAGACCAGACGTCTGTCACCATGGTAACTGGTGCTGTAGCAGACACTTAGATTACATTATGTTGCAAGTTGCAGGAGCTGGTCACCACATAATGTAAATGTGCTTGAGCATGGAGCAGTAATTTGTTAGGCTATACTTCGTTAAGGTGAAACGTTATGAAGTTGTTTTGCAAATGTTATTGTTAAATGCTTATGAATTTGTTCTAGGGGAAGTGGCTTGGTGCGGTAACACTGTTATACGGGATTGGTTGTTTCCTATTCGCCTCGCCACACTTCTTAACAGGTAAATCAGTAGAAGTCTTTACTCAAACGTACGGTTTATATTTACATTTTCATTGTAAAGTAAAATAAGAGATTAAAACCTTCTTTTAAAAAAAATTGATAGATTTGGTGGTGTAATATAGCCAGCTGCCGCCGCGCCGCGTGCCTGCGAAGCTGGTGTGTTACGCCGAAAGGCGGTTATACCGGCTATACAGATACAGATACAGATACAGATGTTCCTAAGTAAGATAAATCAACATATCATTTAGTCTTCTTCAGAAAAACTGACCCACCCAATGTTATCACGTACGTGACCTTTTGGACACGTATTCTTCTTGATATTGACCTTTTGACCTCTTTTTCTGTCTTACCAGGGCGTTATGAAGCCCCGGGCAGTTATGCAACAAACATGACCGCTTCCCAGACAACCAACACTTTGTGTCAACCCTCTAGCAACGGTAGTGTTCCTGAACAATGCACTACCAAAACTACCCAAAGGTTGGTATGATTACACGTTTTGTGCTTGTGATGAAAAATATCTGAAATAACATTTTAATTTATGTACTTTAAATTACAATCTAATATGTTCAGTTGAGAGAATAAGGCATCTGTAAGCTCGTGACTTCAATCAAACTGTTTCGTCGATATCAATGTATTGTCAACTTTTTTGGTGTGTGCGTAAAACTATTCGGTTTTTTTTTTGCTCATGTCTTTACAGCTTTAGCGAACTCAGCAACTACCTGTACGTGTTCGTGGTTGCTCAGTTCTTTCTCAGTCAGTGCGGAGGTTCCCTGTTTACCGTGGGAATCGCCTTCATGGACGAGAACGTCAAGAAAAAAGTCTCTGGTCTCTACGTGGGTAAGTTGTACAAAGGCCCATAACGACAGCTTTCGAATATTGTCCTTGTAGGCCTTCGTAAAGTAGGTATCGTGCATTTACATTTATCCTGGTTCCTCCTAACATTCATGTTGTCTCTCTTGAAATTTGGATACTACTATGTAGTCATGAAATCAGCTAGTAGTATGTTTTCTTTATATTTTCAGCTATAATGTTCACGACTGTGTGCATTGGCCCAACCATCGGATACGTAATCATTGGCCGACTTCTGAGCCTGTATGTGGAGTGGCCAAGCGAGGATGGATACTCGTAAGTATTATATTGTAACAGTAATAAAAAAATATTTGTAGTTTATACCAGCTTGTAAACTGTTTACAGAGATCATCATACATCATATAGATCGATCATTCATTCATTCTGTTTACCGAAGGAAAACATATTGTTTTTACTCAGTTTCTTCCTCCTCTTCTGTTCCAAACACTAACCTCTGACCTGGCCAATGACATGATTTGTTGACGTCTGTCACCATGGTGATTGGTGTTGGGTTACATAATGTTGCAGTTTCATGGTCTGCTCTACTCCTGTAACCATATACTGGTAGTACATGTTTGTGGACGTGTTTGAGTAAAAATTAACAGGGCTGACCATGTCCGAAGGTAAACATTATGCATTTGAGTTGCAAATGTTACTTCTCTAGTTGACTACCGTTTTGTTTGATTGATTCAAACATTGATACTATGATTCATTTATTGATACATTCATTGATAACTCCAGGGCCGGGCTGACCCCAATGGACCCTCGGTGGATCGGGAACTGGTGGTTGGGGTTCCCTGTCCTGGGTACACTGGGGATCCTGGTGGCCATTCCTCTATTTGGTTTTCCTCGCAAACTACCAGGTAAATACAATCCTTGCAAGCCAAGAAAAGACTTTTTGTTCGAACAAAGAAGTAACCGTTATAAATTTACTCAACCTGTGTCACACAGAAGGGCACCATTTATTATTATTATATAGGTTAACAGCTTGTCCATTTTTATCTTTCCTTTAAATTTCTTTGACGATTTTGATTCAATGTCTTTGCGTTGCATGTTTATGGTATTTTCCACCTCCCCCTTTAGGTTTAGATTGATTTCATTTACAATGATTCGTCTTTTCGTTTTTTTTTTAAATTTTCCGAAAGGTTCCGAAGAGTTACACGACGACGAGGCACAGCTGCCGACGAAGACAGCCGAATGTGACGTCACAAAAGCCGATGACGATGATGAAACCCTGTCAATCATCGGCAAGATCCGCCCAGCTCTGACAGACCTGTTCAAGTCGCTACTGGACCTGGGGAGATCTTATTCTTATGTGCTGCTGACTGTTGGAGGTATGTAACGTTATATGTCATTAGTTATGTTTACCGAAGGGAAACATATTGTTTTTGCTCAAATTCTTCCTCTTCTTCTTCTCCAAACGGTGACCTCTGACCTGACCAATAACATGATTTGTTGATGTCTGTCACCATGGTAACTGGTGTTGGGTTACATAATGTTGCAATCTCATAGTAGGCATTTAGACTCCTGTCACCATATACATGTATGTGAATGTGTTTGAGTAAGAATTAACAAAGCAGACCACATCCGAAGGTGAACATTATGCATTTGCTTTGCAAATGTTACCTTTCTAGTTGAGTTTTACTTCACCCAATTATGCTTGTGAGTCAGTAACACCTAGCTTCAGTTCACCTTGAACCAGTCAGAAGTGTCCTAATGAAGATGATAGACTGTCATCGAAACATCTGCTCTTCTAAAGTGATGTTCAAGGCAGCTGTGCTACCATTATTCAACTAAAAAGACCTGATCAACGCTACACATGATGGCCCCATTGTATTTGATTATTATTTCATGTTGCAGTTTCCTTCGACGCAATGTCAAGCTCTGGTATATTCGCCTTCGCTCCCAAAGTTTGTGAGATACTCTTTGGCCTCCCAGTGACATCATCGGTATTGTACTTTGGTGAGTATCCTTTCTTGCTATTGCAACATCCTCAACTCATATCCTGTAAAACAATAACTCCTTTCAATACGTTATATCGAGCGCGACTGAAATTTCAAAAGAGTTTGGCATATCTTTGTTTGCTATATCTTCTTTGTACTATACATAAGGCCTGTTCTAGTACAATAATTGCTTTCTTGAAAGCAGTAGCCAGCCATTGTCTTTGCGAATGATCAGTCGCCATTTTGGATCTGTCCAACATGGTGGCGTCCATTCTAATTTGCATAAATTTACATGTAATTGTTCTTATTTGCATAAATCGGAAACTTACTTGCACCTTAATCTAAAACACCCGGCAGATACATTGTACTAATATTGTATTTTTTTCTGACAGGGTTGTCCATGATCCCTGGCTTTGCGATCGGCTCTTTGTTGGGCGGTTGGATCAGCAAGAAAATCGGCGTAGACTGCAAAAAACTGCTCCGACACATCCTCACCATCTACACCATAGCTGGGATGGGAATTTTCGTGTACCTGATGTATTGCAGAGAGCCGCAAAAGGCTTACGCACAGCTGAACAGCGGGTATGTATAGAAACTATTGCGTAGTTTTCCAGTAGATTGTGTTTTTGTCAACGCCGCGGGGGCGGGTGCATTTTTGATTCCATAGACTTTATACGAGATGCCATCTTCGTCTTTCACTTAATAATTTTTTTTGTTTACTTCATCGGTCACTGCAAAACAAGGCTCATGGGAGCCACTTAAAATGTTTTGGGTTACAGAACAGCCAGAGTGGACAGATGTTTGTTGACCTTAGACTTGAAAATTTTAAGGTTATACTCATAGGGGAAGCAATCACGAGGTAGCTTATTCCAAAGTGATGTTGTTCTTGGAAAGAAGCTTTCAGCATGGAACTTCCTCCTAATAATAAGAGGTGGTGAGTGGAGGAGGAAAGGGTGATTTGGTTCGGTGGAAGTGGCAAGACGTGTATAATATATAATGAAAGATTATATATGTTATTCATAGAACTAGCACAATGAAGAATTGTACCAGTGCTTCTTTGCTGATTGTATGCCTGTGTGCATTAGCATGACCTGTGCTACTGAGTGCGGCTGCGCAGACAGCCTGTACGACCCGGTGTGTGGCGGGAACGGTGTGGAGTATCAGTCTCCCTGTCATGCCGGCTGTGCCGCTAAAAACCACACAACTATGGTGAGTATCAGTCTCCCTGTCATGCCGGCTGTGCCGCTAAAAACTACACAACTATGGTGAGTATCAGTCTCCCTGTCATGCCGGCTGTGCCGCTGTCAACTACACAACTATGGTGAGTATCAGTCTCCCTGTCATGCCGGCTGTTCCGCTGTCAACTACACAACTATGGTGAGTACCAGTCTCCCTGTCATGCCGGCTGTTCCGCTAAAAACTACACAACTATGGTGAGTACCAGTCTCCCTGTCATGCCGGCTGTGCCGCTGTCAACTACACAACTATGGTGAGTACCAGTCTCCCTGTCATGCCGGCTGTGCCGCTGTCAACTACACAACTATGGTGTGTCACTGTGTGTACATTTGTATTCACGTGACTATTACGTCACTTGTTGTCCGCCATGTTAGTCGGTTAAAAATACTTTCTTATTATAAGGTTATTTTGTCCTTTGCCTTTACACATACTGTAAAATTGATACTGTGAATATTTTTAACCGTATCATTTAGCGACCGCCAATATTTTTACATTGAAGTTTTAACCAATTAGTGAGAATGAGCAGCCGCAATGCATTGTGACCATTGTGTCAATGTGTTAAAAAAATCCATATTCGTTAATCAAATCGTTCGACTTATATATATAGACGTTTTGTAAAGCTTTGCTGTTTTACAAAGTGCTACATTGCTTTTGCATTGATTTGTATCGCAGTTTAAACCTTTCATAAAAACTAGCGGAAATTGTATTCTAGTAAAGATAGATTTAAATTTAAACCTAGATTACAAGACTTCACACGCGCACTGGAGGCCACTAGGTGGGTTAAATGCCACCACCACTTGTCAATGATGTCTTAACAAGGCCGTATATTCTGTTAAGAAGTACGCCACCACATGGCAGGTTTGTCGTATGAAGGCAAAGGCAATTTTTACTCGTTTATATCTTCGTCACAACGCAGTATTTCTGCCGTCCAGGTCTACTCCAACTGTAGCTGCATCACAAGTTCCCGGATGCAGGACAACACCACTGCCTACGTCACAACAGGCGTGACGTCTACTGCCACCCATGGCGCATGCGCACGGGACTGTGCGGCCTACAGTGTGCCCCTGTTCTTCACAATCCTGTTCCTGATGGGGATGATCGGCGCCCTGGCCGCTCCATCCTACATGGCTGCTACCCTCAGGTACGTCCGTCAAGGTTAAACATCCAGCTGCAGGCTGTGGGGTCGTATGGCGTAGCGGCAGAGTGCGCGACTCTGAACTAAGAATCCCGGGTTCGAGTCCTGACATTCCACCAATCTTATGCCCTTGGGAAAGGCACTTTACACGGCTTTCCTCACTTATCTCAGGTGTAAATGAGTATTGTCCTGTCATGTATTTGTCCCCTGTGTTGGTGGCGGCATGAATATAAGTTGATAAAACTTGAGTGTGTCGTCACCACGTCTGGTGATTACATGTTGGAATAAAAAAAAAACATCCAGGTAAAAAGAAGTGATCTCGAACCAGTTTAGCTCATTGAAGAGCTACTCTTCCACTGGTCGTGACAGAGAAGACAGAAGCTATGTATAGCATTTACAGGTTCATTGTACCGGGGAAATTCCCCTAGCTCTTTTCGACAAGCACAATGAACATTGGACCACGGCTTAACGTCCCGTTCTAAGGACTGCGAGCCTAAACAGTAGCGTGCATGTTGGGTGAGCGACAACAGCCGGGATTCGAACTCCCAACCTCTTAGTCCAGAGACAGGATCGCTAACCACTGGACTTTGCACGCTAGGTAATAAGATACGCAAAAGAATCAGTTTCTCAAGCAACTGGATATGATGTTGAAAACGGGCAGACGTTTCAGGTAGCATCCATTACCCTTCGTCAATGAAACTGTAGAGTTGTCAGAAAGGCAGGTTTATAAGTACGAACTATTGATTGATATGCAAATACGTGAAGACAATTTTATCAATCAATAGTTTATAGTTCGTACTTATAAACCTGTTTTCCTGACAGCTCTCCAGTATCACTGACGAAAGGTAGTGGATGCTACCTAAAACGTCTGACCGTTTCCAAAATCATATCCAGTTGCTTGAGTATCTGTTTCTTTTGCGTACTCTAAGGTACGTTTGTCTTACATCTAAAAAGCCATTGATACACCTGACACCTAATTTATTTTCATTACTTAAGCATAATTGCTTCATGTGGGATAAGAATTTCTTTTCAGTATAACATAAAAATTATGATTTAAGACAAATGTTTATTTTATATTGCAGGCTTGTTCCCCCCAGACATAGGGCGTTTGGACTAGGAATGCAGCGGTGCTTGATCCGAATCATCGGTGCGTTAGGAAATTTTCTAAAGAACTTCTGTCATTTGATCTGTCAACATATCTTTGTTATATACGCCAAGATCAGTTACTCAAGCAACTGGATATGATCCACTACCTTTCGTTAGTGACACTGTCACTGGAGAGTTGTCAGAAAGTCAGGTTTATAAGCATGAGCACGAACTATTGATTGATATACAAATAAAACAAATCCTGACAAGTCTCCAGTATCACTGACGAAAGGTAGTGGATGCTACCTAAAACGTTTGACCGTTTCCAAAATCGTATCCAGTGGCTTGAGTAACTGTTTTGGCGTATCTTATTACCTGGATGTCTAACATTCATCGACGTATCTTTGTTATATTTGCCTGATCTTCCCTAAGGATGTCTCATAAATTCTTAAGAGAATTTCGAGCCTCGGTAAAAATTAAAATATTTGACCTTGACCTTTGGCTTCCTAAGACCTACCAGCATACCAAATATTATCACAATCCATAAAGACGTTCTGAAGCTATGCTGACTACAAATGTGCGGAAACACACACACACACACACAGAGAGAGAGAGAGAGAGAGAGAGAGAGAGAGAGAGAGACGCACCAAAAACAATACCTCCATTTTTTCACGGAGGTAAACAGTTTTAATCATTGTATCTCACAGGTACTATACCGGGCCCCATGATATACGGCTACGCCATGGACAACGCATGCGTACAGTGGCAGACCTCCTGCGGCCAACGAGGTGCCTGTCTGGTTTACGACAGCCGCAAAGTGGGTCTGTTCGTGTTTGGGCTCGCCTTCGGGCTGAGGATTCTGGGTGCAAGTATCATCGCTCTTTCCTATCTGGTATACAAACCGAACGTTGAAGAAGAGAAATTCGACAACGCCGATGATACAAAGTTTACCAATGGTGATGTGAAAGAAACAAAGTAAAAGGAAACAAACTAAGGCCACAGCTAGTAATTTTTATGGATGACATTAGCACGCGCATTAATTTTCGCCTGATTTTGGAAGAAATAAAAACAAGAAATTTTGTTGCCTTCTGACAGTGGTCACCATGCCGAAAATGGGCAAATATGTCTGTTGCCATGCCGGAAGGTGGATGGCAGGTAACTATTAAGAGAGGAGACAAGAAAAGACTCTGATTCAATATTTTGTTTCTTACTTTGATGCAGTGAGATGTGATGTTGGCTGTGTTTATGTGATGTCCCAACTGAATCAAAACCATTTGTACGATGATTGAGCCAAAATATAAAATGTAGGAACCTTGTTTTTTCGGTCCGCCTTGTTTTTTTTGCCCGCTCGCATTAGATTTGGAGTCTGCGGAGGATGTCTTCCATACAATTTACTTGCTGTGGCCTAAAGCTGCAATTCCAACGCATACAATGTTCGACTTGCCATTTTTTTACTGTACAACTTCATACACCATTTCAAGCTAGGGTACCTTGTACGTACGTACCTTGTACGTAGCCTCTACCAGACTGAGGAAGGTGCTGAAAAGACAATGCAGAAATTGGCCAAATAGGCAGATAATATGCCAGGGGAGTTGGTCCATTATTATATTTTTGAACCGTTCTATGCAAGGCCTATACGACCACTTCTCGGCATTGAACTAGAAAGATGAGAGAAACATGGCTATGTCAAGAGATGGCGGTGAACGTTTGATTTGAAAGCCTGTATATTGTAGGTTGGTGGGAAACACTTGTCAGGGAGGGAATTCCAACGCTTGGCCGTACGGGGAAAGAAACTGTCACTGTAAAAAGATTTCGAACAAGGAATTTGGACGGTGAAGTTGTGTGAGCTACTTGTAACTTTGCCGCATCCAAACTGTACTCTAGGCAGATAACATGCAAACTCCTCTGGCATATTTGGCCAATTTCTAGCCTTACCTGTCCCCTCCGAATGGTGGTAGAGGCTAACCTGTACCAAGAAAGCATAATAACTGTATGCAGATATAGTCAATAATTCAGGGTGCTTTTATCAGAATATTCATCCTAAAAACGTATGAAGTAGGTTTCTAACAAGCTACACTATAACACCTATATTAATAACTTTTACATGAATTGCATAATAAATTGTTTATTTGATATTAATCCATTGTAAAAGTAGTGGAAAATGTAGTATAAACATTCCTTATGTCGAAAAGATTAATAATGACCTTCTTAATATGTTTTAGATATAATAAGAAGTATGAGTCATATGGTCGAATGTTTAAGTCATAGAATGCATTCAAGTGTAACAGGAACTTATTACAGCATCTTGTAGTGTTTAAGTACTATATTAAACTGTCTTTCTCTTTATTTTTACCTATAACCTACGATAATAATTTTTACCTATATTGTGCCATAATCCACATTTTATACTTAACACTTGGTCCTGAACATCCTTCATAGTTAGGGGCCTCAGTAAACAACCTGTACTTGTATTTCATTGTTTTATTAATTATCAATTAACCATTAATGTTTTGACCATAAGAGGTGATGCGCTATATTTTGTATACCAGCGATATAACTGCATTGTATTTACATCGACAATGTACTAATACTGGATATGCTATTTGCTCATAATAAAATACCAATGGCTGTATATTGTGGCTTGGGACTACTGTATTATATGTTGGTCTTTCAGAAGCTACTCTACTTATACTTTTAGTTGATGATTATACAGTAAACTGGATATCAGCATTAATTATGCAAATAAAGTCCTCATTTGCATAATTTGCATTTAATTATGTACATCTCTCTCTCAGCTACCTACACACCAAAAATAATGAAAATATGTTGTTCCTGTCTGGACTTATTGGCTTTTAAACATTTCACCAGAAAGTGCCCTGCAGTTCCAGAACAAGCTGCTACGGGGCCCAAACTCATATGACTTCTTCCCAAGCACAAAAGCTACCTTCCATCAAAATTTCATGACCCTAGCATGTCCAGATCGCGAGATATCAAAACCGGAAGTTGCGCTGCAGTACCAAGGGAAGCCACTAGGGGAACCAAAATCTAATCATTTCTAGTTTTTGTCACACCCTACCAACACACCAAGTATGAAACCAATCCATCCAGGCGTTCTTGAGTTATCTTGTTGACCAACAGACAGACGGACAGATAAACGCAACTGAAAATATAACCTCCATGACACATTTCATGGAGGTAAATATAACCTCCATGACACATTTCATGGAGGTAACAAGAACCTACAGATATCACGGTTTTTAACCATCTTTGTGGTTTCGTGTTAGCCTCTACCAGGCTTCGGGCGGCTGGAAAGAGTAGAAATTGGCAAAATAGAGAGATAACATGCCAGTGGAGTTGTTCCGCTAGAGTACATTTTACCCTCTCTGTACGGCTAACTCCCTGGTAAACTATCCCTTTATTTTGGCCAATATCTACTATTTTTCCAGAGATCCGCGGTGCCTGGTAGAGGTTAGTTCCGTGCCTGGAAGCTAGAAGGTATTTTACATTGAAAACAACAACAACAACAACAAAAACAAGACAGAGATATTTCATACATAAATAGCGTTGTTTTTCTAACATACCAGGTTATCAGCCCAAACTTGTATCACTGAAAAAAAAAACGATCAAATTTCGTCCTTTACGCTTACCTTTACTCGTGCACTAGTAAAGTGTGCTTAATGATAGGAGTTGGTGCAGTGTATATTACAACACACAGTGAGTTTCGAGCCCTGTGTGTCGTAATATACACTGCACGAAATCCTATATTCAAGCACACTTTAAAATAGGATTTCGTGCAGTGTATATAACAACACAGAGTGAGTTTCGAGCCCTGTCGTACAACTAGGTAGCAATGGAAAACGCCTTAGGCTGAACTCCAGAACCACATTGTTTGATGCCACACACCTGGACATGCATGTACTGCCGCGAAGTAACTTTCAAACTGGGACCCTCAACGATGTAATTTCAGGGTCGCAAGACAAAAAGTATTCTAAGAAAAATATTTCTAAAATGACATGTATTGCTGTTAAGCCATCATTACATACCTCAAGCGTTTGAAACATGTTTAAACAAGTTACATGAGGTGTCTCTTTATTTTTTGGTGCCACCAATAAATAGCTAGAATCAGCCACTATACAAAACAAGCAACTGTTTTCTGTTAGCCACATCGCATTGTCGCCTCACAGATATGAGTATGATATTTAATAGATTTGATCCAACTTACTAAGTATATTCTTAAGAAGATGACCAGAAAACTAACTTTGAAAATTCAGTTTAAAGCCCTGAAATCGCCTTGGTTGTGACCAAATCACTAAGAAAAGTACAAGCTGACACTTGGAGTTTTTATTCAATGCTTATGTAAGATGTATTCGATGACTAAGATACGATGTCAGTTCCCGAAAAAAATGCAACCGACAGGACGTTGACCTTACCTGCTGACCTGTGTATTCTCTACCAACATAAGAGCGTGCCCACAGGCAAGGTAAAGCTGAGGTCTTTACACAGGTGTTCAAGGTAGGTCCTCTCTTACAATCATTTTATTATCTTTCATGCTTTCTTACAGTATTATGACTATTTTATTGCTAGAATATTCAACTTTTGATAGTTGGCACGATTGCCAGCTCTCTGTAGTCGTGATTTGATGGAAAAATTTGTAAAAGTTGCTAGTTTAGGGATCAGTGACTACGGGTCAGGGTACGGGGGCATGGAGCGCTGAAGTGGGGACAGCCCGGTGGCTAGACCACCGTAGGCTCCCCGGTATCTCTGCGGTGCTGGGAGTACCGTCCGCCCGCCCAGGTCCATCAGCGCACTCCGGCGTTCTTTTACGGGGTCGGTTTAAATTAGTTCGTCTGCCCAACTGTAAAGATTTAGTATGTCATTTCTTAGTAGGTCTTGGGAAGCTTAAAAGCGTCCAATGCAATTTCAGGGCAGCAAAACAGGATTTTCTAAGTCAATTTTTTGGTCATTCTTTTTAATTTAGTAGTTTGAATCATAGCATACTGATATCTGTGAGGCAAAAATGCAATGTTACTGACGGAAAACGGTTGTTTGTTTTGTAAAATTCACTATAAAAATAAGTTTTGCCAAATTTCATTAAATGTCTTTGAGAAACAAAGGGTGCAATAGTTTAATTTTTCAACTATTGCCTCTCAAACCTATTCAGGATATTGTCGCAAAAAGCCAATCGTAGGTGTATCGTATGTAAGATATACATCTGTATATATGACCAGGGCTTTAGGCTATGATTGGAAACTTATATTTGTTGGTACATGTGTTGCCAGAACTTGTCATAACTTCAAAATGTGTCATTTTTAACCCCAAATCAACTTATCTTAGATTAGTTTTCGTTGCCTAGAACTGGTTTTCAAGTAATAACTTTCAAGTAAGAAAGGTTATACACATTCTATCTGTACAGTAGGTTGTCGTGTAGTGTCTTGTTTTTTTTTTAACAATCTTTATTCAGATTCAAGATACATAACAATAACGTTGGAAACGAGACAAACTGATACATGAACATGAAACGAATAAACAATTATGGTACAGTAACAAATGTACAAAAAACACGCTAAAACCCATAGCTAAATTATCTACTCAAATGTAGAGTACAATTTCCCCCAGTTATCCATGTGTTTTGATACTTCCCCTTTTCTTCTTGCAATATTAATCTCCAAATCATGAAAATATTTGACAAAAGACACAAAGTTCGACAATTTTAACATTCCCTGACGATTTTTGAAAATGTACATTTTTCCTAACAGTATGATTAAATTGGAAATGGCAGAGCATTGTTTATGAAGCAGACCAGATTCCTATTACAGTTAGTAGAACTGTTAGATATTCTCAACACCACCATATGTGTATGTTAACACCACAAACTATGTATGTATCATTTTGCCATACGTTGTACCCGCTACATCTGTAACGTTGCGCAATAAAGTTCTTCTTCTTGGTCATTCAGATCCCCAAACACTATGTTAAATCCATTCAGTTGTAGTGTCTTGTTAACGCTGGGCTTTAAACCGTCTAACACGTGATTTGTGACACTTGGAGAGAGACAGGTAAACATGAGATCAGTGTGCACAGGTGTGGAAGTCCTTATTTGGTCATGGCATTAGAACATGTCTTCAGGGCAATGACCTTTGGAAACCTTCGAGACAAGAAACTATTCACTCGGTGAGAAATATCCTTAAAAGTCACCAAAACAGAATAATAGAAAGTTTATTGCAAAATTCATGCCCGAGGGCTAATTGCAAGAACATGATAACAACAGTAAACAGTAGAATGATAATAAGTAATGCTAATGCTACTTTAAATATACATTTGTAGTTATTGTTGGGTTTAATTTCTTTTCCGTGTGCAGTGGAGTATGAAATGGCCGACATTTTGCGAGATATATGAATTGGGAGGTGTTAATAGAAATGCAGTTTTTTGTAGGCTGGGAAGGTGAATAAAGCTGGGGAACATTTTGGTGACCATTTCAAATAACTGATCTCTTTCAGTGCTATAATGAGGGCAGTGACAAATAAAGTGCATTTAATTTTCAGGTAGATAAAGTCCCGGGCTCGAAATACATGTTTTTGAAATACCTGCACAGATCCAATTATTACTTGCACTTACCTGAATATGCAGGTAGTAGTTCTAACCTTGAAGACATAAACAATCTTTATCAACAATCAGTTAGTCTTCGGTTTAACTTTTTTTTCAATATTTGGGAAAATATTTCACTTCAAGGCCAATTACGGTCTCATTCGTGAGTTTTTTCCATACATTAGAAACCATGCATTAATGAGTGACTTACGAGACCGTGTTCCCTATGATCCTACATTAAATCAATTGATAGCTTTCATGCTATGTTGAGCACACTTACTCTACGTCTCATAAAAAATTGCCAACGACTTCTATACACACAATCCCCTTTTATGGGAATTACAAACTGCAACTAGCGGCTGCCCGCAAGAGGCCCTCCCGCGCTGCAAACCTACGACCGCACAACTCACAACACTGGACTGTGCACGTCCGACCTAGCGCGCGGCTGCCGACAATTATGTCCTAATGTCATCAGTAACAAACAAGCTTTCACCGCTTTGACGTTTTACATCAGTTGGGATGGCTAAAGGGGAAATTCTCACCAATAAAAACACTCGTTCATACAGCCGTTTAGTTTTTGACTTGGTACTCTTTTTACACTCGGAGTAATACATGAATGAGACCTTACTGCATATATACCGTCGCCATTTTGTTTCCACAGATGTCTATGTTCAGCAGTTTGCCCGATCTTCGCCAGGCGGCGCTAAATCAGACCGCCCGCCCGCTGCTCGACACCACCCCTCGGTACCAGCCCTTCAAGACACCGGACCAGATTCTGGAGGAGAAGAAGGGACGTCTTCGGTTCGGCTGGTTCGGCTTCACTCCTGACTTCCTCCAGTTCTTCAACACTTCGAGATGGCTGGTCTTTTTCATGAGTATCGCCGCCTATGTGGATGTGAGTAGGTTTTATGTGATAAATCTTAGAAAATTGCAAGAGAGAGACACCTGTACTGTGCAATATGAACCAGTCAGAATTGTCCTGAGGAAGGTGACAGACGGTCACCAAAACGTCGGCTGAATAAAATCACTTAATTGCGAAAAAAAGTATATTTATTAAAAGAAATAGTCCTGTTGTGAGATTTCACAATTTCCCCCTATTGCTTCCATTAAAACTTTATACCAATAATGATAATGTATGATACTTCATTTCATGTCAGCAACGACAAATACAGCTCGATTTATAACATCAATTTTGGTACGTAATACGGCAATGTAGATTTATTTGTCAAGCTAGCTGTCATTATAATGACGAAATACATTTTATTTCCCTCTGTTCATTCCATAACAACGGTCGAAATGAATTGACTATTCAAACTTCTACAATTTATCCCACAATTTCTCTTAACTTACAGACCAAGAAAAAACTATTCTTCTTTTAACTTCCCAAAACCCACAAATTTTGGAAAAGGTGGGACATTACGTCTTCCATGGTTTACAGAAGAGAAGTCAAACCCTTCAGACATAGTTTTAGACATAGTTATAGTTCTAGACAGCTAACGTTATCATGTAGCCTTCAGTTATTTTATACCCTATTCCATTGTTCTTTTATGTTTACCTCCATGAAAAATGGAGGTATTGTTTTTGGCGTGTCTGTCTGTATGTATGTATGTATGTCTGTGTGTGTGTGTGTCTGTGTGTGTGTCTGTGTGTGTTTCCGCATCTTTGTAGACACCATAACTTCAGAACGCCTTTATGGATTGTGATGATATTTGGTAAGATGGTAAGTCTTGGAAAAACAAAGGTCAAGGTCAAGTATGGGCCTCCTGATGGATGACCTTGGTACTGCAGCAGAACTTCCGGTTTTTGTATCTTTTGTCCTGAACAAGCTATGGTCTTGACTTTTTGGTGACAGATAGCTTATCCTGTCAGGAATAAGTGGCGTGAGTTTGTTCCCCTAGCAGCTTGTTCTGGAACTGCAGGTTAGTTTCTGGTAAAATCTTTCAAAGCCAATTAGTGCAGATAGGAACAACATATTTTCATAATTTTTGGTGTGTAGGTAGCTGAGAGAGAGAGATGTACATAATTAAATGCAAACTATGCAAATGAGGACTTTATTTGCATAATTAATGTGGGAATTCTATAATTACAGTGTTTTACATTATACTACTTTCATACATGTAATGTATGTAACCTATGTCAGGCGGAACATCAACAGATACTAATTATGCAAATGATGACCTAATTTGCATAATTAATGCGAAAATTCTATGATTTCTTAATGGTGAATGATGGGAATGTCATACTTGGGACATCTGTCAGTTAATCAAAAGTTAACATACATCACGATGCATATATCATGTTAATGCAGAGGTCATTTGCATAATTAAAGAAGAAATTTACATTTACATATCAAGCCCATATTTCATGGAGGTATGAAGTCTTGGAATTCTTGTTTGTAATTTGCAAATAGCCCCCGGGTAAGAATTTGCAAAAAACTTTTCATATATAAATAGTCAACATGGCTGACAGCCAAATCATTTTCCGTATTTTCTAATTTAATTTTGGTATCAAATTTACCGTCGGACCGTTTGATTATAAAGAAAAGGCTGTTATGTTTATGTAACATCACACTTGATAGCCCGTTCTACCAGTAACAAGTTACACAGAAGCGCCACTATTGGTATCTATGAGTATTGCATCTTCCCGTGTTCCATATATGCAGTGCACAACGATGGCATTTATACCCGGCATCGTTTCCACCCTGGAGAAGCGATTTGAGATGTCCAGCGCTCAGAGTGGCTTCATCATTAGCTCCTCTCAGATCTTCGCCCTCGTCACTGTGCCAATCATCACGCACATCGGCGGGAAATATCACAAGGTTGGTTCCTATTGGCTGTGTGTAGTCACGTGACTGTGACGTAATGACTGTCCACAGCACGTCGGCAGAACGTACTGCACCTGCGCGAAACCCGTAATGTATTGTACATAGCACTTCGACAGAACGTCTCATATAAGGTCGTACTAGCGCATATAAGGTTAAGATCCCGTCTGTAGTTTCCAAATGTTATGTAGGAAAATATATCCTTTGCAACAAGCAAAATTTTGATGCAACGTTGACCAAAAGCCCACCGAAAATCGTTAAAATACAGGGTTCTGCGCAGGCGCAGTACGTTCTGCCGACGTGCTGCTCCTATTGGCTGTGCGTAGTCACGTGACTGTGACGTAATGACTGTCCACCATGTTTGTTGTGCTAAGTCAATCATTAAATCATTCAATCAATTAACTTTTATTAGACGTCAAAATTTTCGTCTTCAGCAATTCAGACTAATACCTACACTATTCTATTCATTAGTGAATAGGTACAAATGTATAAGAAAATACTGTGTACATTACAAGGACGATGACTGTATTTAGAATAAGGCCATGTTGATTTGATTATATGGATGACATCCTCCGGGAACCCCAAAAGTGATGCGCGCGTGCGAATAAAAAAAGTTTTGCAAAAAAAAGTTGTTTTCATTATGAAATGTACGTGGTCATGAAGGTTGAACAAATGGCACAGAATATGGTTTGGCGAATAATCTACTCTTCGAATTCATTTCTTTACAATTTCGTGTTTTTTCGTTTGATTTTGGCATTCTACGACATTGGTATGGTTTTTTTGTAACTTACGGTATATTTTTGCTCATTTTGCAACTGTTTTGTAAGATTTACGGTATGGTTGAAAACTTTTTTTT